TTATCAGTGAGCTCTATCAGGCTATATATAGTATTACATTACATGTACCAGCCTGGCCTTATCAGTGAGCTCTATCAGGGTATATATAGTAATACATTACATGTACCAGCCTGGCTTTATCAGTGAGCTCTATCAGGCTATATATAGTATTACATTACATGTACCAGCCTGGCCTTATCAGTGAGCTCTATCAGGCTATAAATAGTAATACATTACATGTACCAGCCTGGCCTTATCAGTGAGCTCTATCAGGGTATATATAGTAATACATTACATGTACCAGCCTGGCTTTATCAGTGAGCTCTATCAGGCTATATATAGTATTACATTACATGTACCAGCCTGGTCTTATCAGTGAGCTCTATCAGGGTATATATAGTAATACATTACATGTACCAGCCTGGCCTTATCAGTGAGCTCTATCAGGGTATATATAGTAATACATTACATGTACCAGCCTGGCCTTATCAGTGAGCTCTATCAGGCTATATATAGTAATACATTACATGTACCAGCCTGGCCTTATCAGTGAGCACTATCAGGGTATATATATTCATACGGCACATGTACCAGCCTGGCCTTATCAGTGAGCTCTATCAGGGAATATATAGTTATACTGTCTGGCAGTCACAGCACATGTAATCAGCCTTACCTCAATAGTGAGCAGGGCACCACATTTAACTGCAATGTGATCTGACCTGGCATTAACCCCAAAGAGAGCCAGCACTTGGCATTTACCTCAAGCGAGCCATCCCCTGGCAATAACCCCATAGAAAGCCACGATTTGGCATTAACCCATGGAAAGCCAGAACCTGGCATTAACCAATGGTTGGGCAGACTAGATGGGCCAAATAGTTCTTTTCTGCTGTCATAATCAATGTTTCTATGTTAATGGAAAGCCAAGATATGGCATTGGCCCATGAAGAGCCAAGATTTGGCATTAACTACAAGAATGACAGCATAGCAAGTCCAGGGATTCTTTAACCTGTTGCTTTGCATGATACAACATTATTGAATGCTGCTTAGAGTTGCCAGTTTCACCGGGCTGATGATCGGGAAATGAAAATGGCTTTTATGTTATCTATAGCTTTCTATAAACATGCTGCAGGATTACTTTTTAATTATAAGACTGATTTGCATTCTTCATGCTGCAGGACAGCTTTTAATAAAGTGTAGCCCATATATATGTGTTCTGGAAAATATGTTGAACCTGTCAGTCATCTGGGGGTCCTTTGTTTCTCAGTTTTAACTTGCGTGTATACTGTCACTTTTAATTCAGGAAGGTTTCGAAAGGTACATCACACAGTTTTTGTTTAGTTTTTAAGTTCATTTAGAGTTTGGTGAAATAAGATTATTTTATATAAATAATTATAGAATAGGAAGTTTTGTTACTTTTTATACCCCATGACATTTTTTTTTTTTTTTTTTATGCGGACAAGCATCTGGTAACGTGTTATCCCAGCACATTGGGGGATTTTTGTAAATATGACTATAATAGAAGTGTGGTGTAAGATCTAACACAGGGGTGGAATGCCAAATGCACAACTACACCTGCCAAAATGCTTTTTCAGCTAGGTATCTATCCAGCCCCATTTCGGAAAGTTGAACAGTCGCCACTGAAACAAATTCACTTGAATGTTTTATTGGTTTCCAGGGTGATTGCACTAATCCTATAACTTACTCACACTTTGGGTGATTGGGTGGCTTTTGGGAATGTATTGGCATCTGCGGATCTTCATGCGTCTTTTCTTGCGTGTACGATAAACTTACAGTGAGTTCAATGTGCTGCTCTCCAGAGATTTCATTGGTGTCATCCATCAAAGAGTAAAATATGGGTAAAAGGGCAGCAGCAAGGTGAGGTAGGAATTTTAATGTTTTTGACTTGTCTTGTTCAATGCTATGAACTTTTTAGAACTTTGAAATGAATTAGATTTAAAAAAATACTTTAAGTGTTTTTCCAATAAAGGATTCGAATTTAACAAAAACCTTAAAATTACAGGTTTGCTTATCATAGCTGTTAGAAAATCTGGTATTATCTCTACAACTGCATGCACCTTCATTGTATGACATCAGAGGTGCTGCATGCACTTGTGATTTCAGACGTGAAGTATAGCTTTTAGCTCTACTTGCATGGAATCTTTTGTGCTGTGTGACCTGTATAGAATCTGGTGTTCTCCGAGAGATCCTGTACAGCAGGTGTGTGATTGCAAGTAGCCCAATTAATGAAACATGTGAGCGAAACCAACAATGCAACTTCAGTAGTTTCATTCATGCAACTCCATGAATAAAACTACCTACACATTTGATAATTTACTGCTGTGAGATATGAACAGTGCTCCCAATGAAAACAAGGAGGGATTAATGATTGACCGAGAGAGAGCATTTCCTGGACCTTCCATCATCTATGGGAAATTGGCTATGAATACATTTTCTTTCTATATTCGAAGTGTGCACTTCACAAATTTTTCTAAGTATGTCAGGGTTTGCTTCCCCATTTCTGCTAATGTCCCCGATTATAGGCTCCATGTGCAATCAAACAGAAGTTCATGCCACCTTGACCGTGTATCAACGAACAGCTGTAAATTCTCAATGTTTTGGGGGCTACATGTATAGTGCTGTCTAGCAATATTTAGAATTTATATGGTGCAATTAGAGATGTATTCATAATTGCAGTTTCTATGAATCCTGTTAAATTAAAAGTGACTTCCTCTTTAATTATAATTGTGTTCAGTCTTGCAGTCCTGGCACAGTAAAGGCACACATTGCATTGGAGAAGTAGCAATATTGGGGGAGATGCATCAGTGTTCTTTAAAAGGTCTTTTGTTTTTCTTTTTTTTTTGTGGTGGGTTGGACCTTAAACTGTTCATATTTATGAAATTGTTCAAAAAATGGTCTTGAAAGTTTACTTAAGTGCTGCCATTTTTCAGAGAAATTGTCATTTCAGAAATAACCACCAAACCACAGAATTAAATTGTGGCATAAACAAAAAGCTAAGATTGCAAGATAATCAGGTGTGGATTTCTATATTTTATTTTTACATCTCACAAATAGATATATATTTAATACAAAGTCTTGGTAATTGACAAGTGTCCTCTAAAACGGGCTGAAAGTGTTTACTCTGCAAAGTCAATTTTCAGACTCCGAAGTGTAATTCTAGTTTCTTCAAGCGGCTTCTCTCCCCACCATAACATATCTGAGTATTTAATAAAGATAGAAGTGATTCATTTCATTTGAATTTCATTGACAACCCAAAACAATCAAAAGATATCAAGACAAAGTATTGACAAAACATTACAAAAAGTGGAGCTTCTGCTGTGTAGTTCTGTCAAAATCTCACAGGTTTCATACATACCTCCCAACATTTCAAAGAGGGACGCATCCTTTTTGGGGTGTGAGTGTGGATGTGGCCAGGAGCAAGGCTGCTCTGAGACATTTTAGGTGAGTTATAAACAGTTTATACAACTAAAATGTATTTTAGAACAAGAAAGATGTATCTTATTTACACAGACTGATTTCTAAATACATTTATTGTAGTTTAATTTTTGGAACACTCCGACAGACAAGAATACAAGTTCTTATAAAAGAGATATGAGTCCAAATGGGAGGTATGTGCCACTAGTAATCATGACTGTGCGAAGCGGCATATTCTCGTGCAACGCACAAGTTGGTCTGTGTGGTATATTGCAGTCTTGCAGAATCCGCCAATGGTGAAGTGAGATCGTGAAAGATAAATGCTGTTTCATGTAAGCATAACACCTCATCTGCAACCCCTGGGGCAGCCACACGCCTAGTGGGGATGTTCCTTCAGTGGCCGTAGCAAAATATGCACACACAAAAAAAAAAAAAAGTTGAAAAGAGCTGCTTTAAAAATGTTTAAACATATTTAAAATTTGGTAACCGACAAAAATAAAAATAATAAAATGTTATATGTTTTGCTAATAAAGTTTGTTGTGCTTTGAACAGTCACCTGCTTGTGACATCATACAAAGATACAGCACAGTACTTATATTAATCGTAGATTTGCTATATATTGAACAAAAACAGGACCAACATGACAACTTACTATGAGAACCTTAGGGAAAAAAATCACAGCAGATTTAAAGTCGGAATATTTTATTATTTTTAGGAAGCATTTTAAACCAAACCTTTTCCTCTAAGGAAAAAGTACTCTGCAGCCCTGCATTTTATTTGAATGCAAATATAATCCATGACCTGACATATAGCTGAGCGGCTGGGCCTGCCTATACATTTTTAATAAGAGTCTATTATGGATGGGAGATTTTGCTGCAGAGAAACATGGAAAGAGAATATTTTAAATTATACATGTGACTCATCTGAAGCCATTTGCAACATTTTGCAGCAATCTGTATCTGATGTTCAAGGTGCCTTAAAGGACCACTATAGGCACCCGGACCACTTCAGCTTAATGAAGTGGTCTGGGTGCCTTGTCCAGCTAGGGTTAACCCATTTTTTAATAAACATAGCAGTTTCAGAGAAACTGCTATGTTTATAAATAGGTTAATCCAGCCTCTAGTGGCTGTCTCTTGACAGCCGCTAGAGGCGCTTGCGTGCTTCTCACTGTGAAAATCACAGTGAGAAGACCAGCGTCCATAGGAAAGCAGCATGAATGCTATGAGACTGGCTGCATGCACATTCAGCCGAAGAGGAGGAGGAGAGCTCCCCGCCCGGCGCTGGAGAAAGAGGTAAGTTTAACCCCTTCCTCTCCCCAGAGTACGGCGGGAGGGGATCCCTGAGGGTGGGGGCACCCTCATGGCACTATAGTGCCAGGAAAACAAGTATGTTTTCTTGGCACTATAGTGGTCCTTTAACCCCTTAAGGACCAGACTTCTGGAATAAAAGGGAATCATGACATGTCATATATGTCGTGTCCTTAAGGGGTTAAAGAAACACTATAGTCACCAGAACAACTACAGCTTAATGTAGTTGTTCTGGTGAGTATAATAGCTCCCTTCAGGCATTTTCATGCAAACACTACCTTTTCAGAGAAAAGGCAGTGTTTACATTGCCCCTAGGGACACCTCCAAGTGTCCACTCCTCAGATGGCCACTGAAGGGGCTTCCTGACTCAGGGCTGCACAGTAGGCAGCCCTGCCGTTCAGCATCCCTACGTTCTCCATGGAGTCGCTGAATTTTCCTCATAGAGATGCATTGATTCAATGCATCTCTATGAGGAGGTCCTGATTGGCCAATACGGCATTTGGCTCGCCCCGTGCCGATTTTAGCCAATCCAATGCATTCCCTATGGGACACGCACGGCGCTGGAAATAAGGGGAGTTTAAAAATAGGGGGGCAAGCCCCCTAAATGGTGGATTTAGCACTAAAGGGTCAGGAATACATGTTTGTGTTCCTGACCCTATAGTGAACCTTTAAAATAAAATAAATACTAAAGGAAAATAAGCTTCAAACAGCAATATCGTACATAGTGTCATAGTTTGATACGTCTGTTGTAGTTTCTCAGCATGTATTTCTTACATCATTTTACCGTTCCAGTTTAGTCCTCTTATTGTTGAATAGAGAGACTAGACTAAACACTAAAGTGTATCTGTGAAGCATAACATCTCTTAGATGTCTCTCTAAGTAGCATAGAACTGAATATGTGTATAATGCTAGGACCCAATATAGTTAACTGTAGTGGTTACAATGTTTGGAATGTCCCTTTAATTTATCATAAACCAGGCATGTGCTCGCTGTTCATATTTGGACCTAGATCTTAGTCTGGAAAAAACATTGTATTAGAAAGTTAACGTTTGGATTCAAAGGGACACTGTAGTCGCCAGAACAAGACAGTGTTTACATTCCTTCCTAAGAACACTTCAGTGGCCACTCCTCGGACAGTCAACAGAGATGCTTCCTGACCTCAAGTCATGCTGTGCATGAGATACTGAACTTTCCCCATAGAGATTCATTGATTCAGTGCTTCTCTAAGAGGATATGCTGATCGGCCAAGGTGGCATTTGGCTCCGCCTCTCCCACACCTCCTTGGCTGTGATCATCAGAATTTTCTATCTCTGCAAGCTTTCTTATGGGATCATCAATTATAGAACCACTATAGTGCCAGGAAAACAAACTTGTTTTCCTGGCACTATAGTGTTAATAGGTCCCCCCTGCCGCCGGGCTCTAGGGAGAGGAAGGGGTTAAAGGCTTACCTTTCTCCAGCGCCGGGCTCCCTCGGCGCTGGGGACTCTCTTCCTCCTTCCGATGTCACCAGCTGCACGGCAAAAGCGCATTCAGTCAGTCCATAGGAAAGCATTTTCAATGCTTTCCTTTGGACGCTGGTGTCTTCTCACAGTGAAAATCACAGCGAGAAGCGCCTCTAGCGGCTGTCAATGAGACAGCCACTAGAGGCTGGATTAACCCATATGTAAACATAGCAGTTTCTCTGAAACTGCTTTGTTTACAGCAGGCAGGGTTAAACCTAGATGGACCTGGCACCCAGACCACTTCATTAAGCTGAAGTGGTCTGGGTGCCTATAGTGGTCCTTTAAATGGAGGTGGATTGTGGCTGGAGCGATCGTGGCTCTGGAAATAAGGTGAGTTTTCTAGTTATTTAAGGGGGGCTAGCATGTTTTTTTTTAAAACACTATAGGTTCAGGAATACACATTTGTGTTCCTGACCCTATAGTTTTCCTTTAAACTCATTTAATTTCAGCCATTCCCAAAATGCATAGGTATATACCCAGGGATGTCAGTCGGCTTTGCAGGACCTTTTCATTCTGTGTTAATAAGGGAGATAACGGTATACTTTAAAGGTTCATGGAGAACTAGTTAGCTGAATCATAGGTTTCTCTGAGTTAATATATCAATCGAGTCTCGTAACAGAATATATAACCTAATGGTAGGTCTGCGTTTTTTTATTTTTAATTGCTATAGAAATGAGTAGAAAAGTAACAGAGCAATAGTAATGTTTTTACCTATACAGTTTTTGTATAGCAGGTTGCAAAAAGTATCATATGTAAGATGGGGAAAAACTGGTAAAACGTTTTACCTGGAAAAATATGTTCAAGAATTAATTGGGTTTTTTTTATATCAATTTTTATTTTTTTTCAAGTGTTTTCTTACTTTGGGATTGTGTGATATATGAATAAAATATTGTGTACATAAAGGTAAATGTCACCTTTATATTGCAGACACAGTGAAATGTAAAGTACTGAGTAGAGGTTTTAAATGTATATTTCTGTGCAAGGTTGGTGGTCCCTGAAGTATGAATTGTCAGTAATTTTGTGTTCATTTCATACTCATGTAAATTTTTGGCCAAACTTGTCAAATTAAAATATTCTCCAAATCAGCTATGTGCTTCAGTTTGGAGGGAGATGGGCTTGGTCTCCATAGATTAGATGAATAATGGCTGTCCTCGACTGTCCTTCGTTGACTTTTTGTGGAATACATTTTGAATAATGCTCTTTCCGTCTGTAGGTCCTCCTATAAATATAGCTTGTACTTTTATGACTAACTCCATGCGTATGCAGACAATATTTCCCAGGATAATTTGCTCTTTCACAAAAAGACTAAAGCATTGATTGTTCCCATGTACTATCATGGCATATAAAATTTCCACCTTTTAGAATATTTGACCAAATGTCCACACATGCATAAGCAGTGGTTCACCATTGGTTTGATGTGTTTTGCTTGATTTTGGAAATTCACTGTAATTCTAATAAAATGTGTATAAGACTATATTTCTGTAAAAAAAAAAAATCAAAAGAGAAATGAGACCGTAATAACTTATTTTACACAATTAATCAAAATTTAAAGAAAAAAGCAAAATCAATTTCCTTTTGCAAAAAATGACATTTGAAAGTGTTAAGTGTGATATATATTGACTGCTAGGGTCTCGGTTAAAATAACTTGTAATATTTCATAACACAAAAAAAACCCTGCAATACTAAATTATAAAAATACTTAATTGTCTGAAAAGGAAAGTGAAATTGTTGTTTTCTGCAAATAAATCTTGTACTTAAGAATAAGCAGGTGTGACACATTTCTATTAGCTACATATGAGTAAAATATTATATAATGGTCACACTGGCAATAATTTTCCATCCTGACTAGTAAATGTCTCCCAAGTAGCAGAGTCTCGGTGCTAAAGGTACATGCCAGGACCTAGAATACAAGCAGTAACTCATGGCTGTGGTGGGGTCAGGAAGTAGTGAAGGTGTTGATATACTGAAAGCATCCTGTGTGAATTTGCTCTGCATTGTCAGAATCATTTGTACAGGAAGGGGGCTGTGCATGTACCTCTGTTTTGTGTAACGGGGGGTCCCTACAAACCAACACTTCATTCACTCTACACTTATTGAAACAGATTCCAATAATTGGTGCCCTCAGGAGAGCAAGGTATTGTGGGAGTGAGAATTTCTGTAGATAGGTTCTAGAATCTAGAGACTTGGCTTTTGAGGAACAGATAGAAAAGTTAGAGTAGAATGCAAAAGATCAGATACAAACTGCACAATGTATAGGGAAAATTTACTTTTGATAAGTTGTGCAATATCTTAATTTCTGCTACTTTGTGAAGTTGAAATGGCCATAGCCTTTTAGTATAAAACATACTGGGATGTAGTAATTTTCTTTTCACTCCAGTGTGAGTATGCTACAGACAGCAGTTAATGTCTATATCCCTTTAGTATAAAATGTATTGTGGTTTTGGTTAATTGTCTTACCTTCAGTGTGAGCTACTAGGTACCTTTCAACAGACCGCACTCTATGCTCCATAACTACTTCAGCTCGTTGTAGTTGTTATGGTGCCCTGGCACCTTTCCCAATGTGTAAGGAACCAAACTGTTTTTGAATGGTTTTCTTCTCACCTGGGGTCCACTACATTACATCCGACAATGAGCCAAAGGTGTTTTAGTGAGACTACAATATACTTCATCCCAATAAAGAATAACAACTCAATTGTTTTCACATTATTATTATTGACATTTATATATATCGCCAACAGATTCCGTTGGCCAGTGTTTGTGACTAAGTGGCTACTAAAAAAGACTAAACATACCACACTTTCAATACCTTGGGTTGTCTTCTTTTTCAAATGGTATGCCATTATGGGGGTAATTCTCATTCCTGGGCTAACACACCGTTTCAAAGGTAACATTTCAAATTTAAATTTGAAAATGGAACGTTCTATATTTGACCCTGTAACTTTCCAAAACACCATAAAACCTGTTAATGGTGGTACTATTGTACTCGTGAGACATCGCTGATTACAAATATGTGCATTTTTTTGCAGTAAAACCTAACAGTATTATGACATTCACAGCTAAAATTTCAGATGGAAATACAAATTAAAAAAAAATCTTATTTTCTCACATTTTATTTTTAATTTTATTCATAATAAATTATGTTCCATATATGAATAGTTAATGATAAATTACAGCCCTGTTTCTCCTGAACAAAATGATATATAATAAGTGTGGGTGCACTTAATGTGACAGCGGTGAATTACAGTTGAACAGACTTATAGCGCAAATTCCAGTTTTTGTTTACGTTTTGTTTTGTGTGCACTATTGACTCCGTCCTGAAGTGGTTAAAGGAAAAAAAAGATTAAACTAGAAAATCTACAATTTCTGGGGAAATTGTGTGAAGTGTTCTTGCCTCCACCAGTAGTCTACAACCGGAATGGGCGGAGTAACTGTTGTGTGGCTGGAGTAACTGTGGAAAGGTTGGAGTGTGGTTCACTCACTGTACAGCAAGGGCAGAGAAGAGCTTTCAAATCCCTCGAACATTCCACCAACTGCCAACAGGGACTAATAGATTTCAAATAGGGCAGAGAAGAGCTTTCAAATCTTTCAAATCCCTCGAACATTCCACCAACTGCCAACAGGAACTAATAGATTTCAAATAGGGCAGAGAAGAGCTTTCAAATCTTTCTAATCCCTCGAACATTCCACCAACTGCCAACAGGAACTAATAGATTTCAAATAGGGCAGAGAAGAGCATTCAAATCTTTCAAATCCCTCGGACATTCCACCAACTGCCAACAGGAACGAATACATTTCAAATAGGGCAGAGAAGAGCGGTTAAAAACAAACTGCTCCAAATTGCTCACTTCACTGGCGGTTGCCATCTTCAAACGGTTGTATTTTAGAAACTATAAATCCTACAGCGAAGAGCTTTATATTGTGAGAATTACAGGACCCAGACCTACATTTAGATGCATAGTATGTCTCTGAAAAATGAAGGCACAGTTGCAGTTTAGAAATTGCCCTTCAAGTTTGAGCTGGCTAGAGTGGAGTTTCAATGAATGTCAGTGGACTGCGTGAGTTGCAAACAAATGGTCATATTGTGAAAACTATCAGGACTATGGCTTAGCTGTGGACATTTTTAGTGGCAGCAGGGATAGTTGAACATTTTAATATAAGATTAGTGTAGGTGGGCTTGAAAATGAGGGAGTGGTGGCAGTTTAGAAAACCATGTCCTGATTTTTCAGCTTTTGCCAGCTCCCACTCTAGTTTTGAACATTTTCGCCATTCATTCCTATGGGATCAATTTTGCCACAAAGACGACGATATTTTGTGAACCATTCGGCGAAACGTTCCACAAAGTAATAGCAATCCAATCTGGAACAATCCGCACGTTTTGGTATATTACTGTCTATGTAGTGTAAAACTGTGGGAGGAGTTAGGGTGGTAAATTTGGCTATAATATGAATAATATATATGTGAGTTAATATTATGTGGTCTTGCTATGCAAGAACACTTAATAATTTTAACTATTGCAACAGTGTGTGTGTAGCACTTATTTTTGATAGAATACAGATAAAGATAGATCCAGATAATAGGTACTATAAATATACACTATAGGTGAAAAGCTGCCACTCAATAGGCACACCCCAAATAGCCTATAAAACCAAATAAAAAAAGAAATAGATGGCTACAAACCCACCTAATGAGGACGCTGGACACTACAAACAAGTGTGTAAACGTAATATTAAAAATATAAAAATTTATTCTGCACACTTCGCAGTAAATAAAAAATATATAAATAAATAAAACAATATACAAATGCCAAAAAGTAATGTAAAGCAGTACAATCCTAAGACCAGGGAACAAAGCCCGACACCAACCACTCAGCTCACAAGTAGATGAATGTTATACACAGCCCTTGGTCGCGACTCCTAGGGCTGAAGTATACTTGCAGCTCACGATGCAATGGAACCGTGGTGGTGAGATAGCGGTCTCTGGACTGCTGAACTTCCAAACTTGATGACTCTGACTCAACACGTTTCTTCCCTGAGTAAGTCCCGAATAACGCGGGACGAAACACAAAGTGTGCAGAATAAATTTTGATATTTTTAATATTACGTTTATACACTTGTTTGTAGTGTCCAGCGCCCTCATTAGGTAGGTTTGTACCCATCTATTTCTTTTTTTATTTGCACTTATTTTTGAGAAGAGTCGGATTCACTACTTCTCATACAGATGCGTTCGATTGGCTGATTGCAGAAACTGCGTCAAGATCCAGTTGGTTATGAATAATCATGATTGATGACTTCACTGTAGGATGATTGGTTACTGCAAAGAGACTGTCCTGACGTGGGATAAAGGCAAGTGTAATGGCTTTGTTAATCAATTAAAACCTCAAACAAGGTGCCCAGTAATCTTCAAAGGTTAAAGAGGACTTCTAATCAAACATGATCTGCCAATATCTGGGTATGCCGGCCACTATCATCTTGTGGTTCCCAACCCAGTCCTCAAGTATCCCCCAACATTCCAGGATTTAGGGATTACCCAGTTCTGTCCAAGGTGTTTTTATTAAAAAAACAAACAAAAAAACATTGCAGACACAACAGGGTAATCCCCAAATCCTGGACTTCTAGGGGATACTTGAGGACTGGGTTGGGAACCCCTGACCTAGACTAAGGTAAAAATGGTACCATGAGATAATTCTTTCAAACGATCCACTGGATCAGCTGCTTCTCAAAATATACTCAGAAACCATCAGCAGCACAGAAATTGAAGATTACCCATCTCTTTTTTTCCTATAGGAATAGGACCACCTGCAGGTATTTTGTAACTATACCCCACTTCTCTTAGAGTGTAAGCTTATTTGAGCAGGACCCCCATCATCTTCTGTCCTATACATCCAACCTGTCTTCTTGCAACTTTTTTTTTAGTCCATTTATTAAACTGGACTGTAGAATATGTTGGTGCAGTATATATAATATGGCCTTCTTCGCCTCTGTTATACTCTGTAAGTAAGTATGCCCATTTAATAACTGAAGCACCGTGGAATATGTTGGCGCTATATAAATGCTAATTATAATAATGCCGCCGCTTGCCTTTGACATGGCTATACTGACATCTTCCCCCTTGATTTGCTTGTCAAGCAAACACATTAATGAGCAGACCGATTAGGTTGCAGGAGGTGGGGTGTTGGGGGGAAATAGGAATAGACTTGGTTGCTCGAGAGGCAAGTTCAGAACTGTTTGCAAAGGAAGCAAAGCATTCCTAAGCTTTGTGAAACAAGAAACAGCCAATGCTACATACCATAATCTGTCCGTAACCTCTGTTCACATCTTGCTCATGGCTAAAGCACACCTTCTGAATCTCAGGTTTATTTTTGTTTTTTTAGAAAGAAAAATGTGTAAAACCATCATGAGACTGTTGAACACCTACTTTACAAGTGGCCACTTACATCAATTGTAAGTTGTTACATTTTAACATAGATGCATTTCTTTCTTTTACGTCCAGGGCACAATGAGTGAAGCTAGCAAGGAGTGTCGGGTGGCCTTCGGCCCTTCTCTTGGGGACATCGTGAGGGTGAAGAGAGAAGTTGGCTCCCCTGTTGGAGAGCAGAGTTACAGCCAGCTCTGGTGAGACTGGTCACATGAACTGTCCCTTTAAGAATGCATTACCTAAGGGCCATACAAATTGCTTTTAGATATATGAAGGCATGAAAGAGTCCTCCCTCCCTCCAACCCCCCCCCACCCCCCCCAATTTTAAAGTGTAAAAAAACACCCACAGGTTTTTCTTTAATGTTTTCAAGAATATTCATTGAATGCATTTGTAAACTGTATGTTAGAAATAGTTCACTTAAGGCCCCATTAGAAACTACAATGTAGTCTAATAATGGTTCCTGGGGAGAGTTCTCTCGAAAACTCTAGCCCCCATTCACAATATAGTATTATAGCATAGCTTTCTGCTTAATTACTGCTGCTGGCAGACTGGATGCTGTGGCAAGCTGGCTACCTGCAGTTGCTGGTTAGCTGCTTTGGCTGGTTGCCAGGCAGGCTGGCTGCTGTGGCTGGTCAGCTGGCAGGCCTCTTTCTTCTCCCAGCAGACGTCTATTTCTCCCCCAACGCCTTTGTGTGTCTCTTTTTCCTCTCCCTCTCTGTATGTCTCATCTGCCTTTTTTGTCCGTCCCCCCAGCACCTTTGTGTGTCTTTTTTCCCCAGCCCCTCTGTGTGTCTTTTTGTCCCCCTGTGCTTCTGTGTGTCTATTTTGCCCTCAAGCCCCTTTGTGAGTTCCCCTTCAGCCCCTCTGTGTGTCTTTGTTCCCCTTGTGTGTCTTTGTGTATCTTTATGCCCTCAGCCCCTCTGTGTGTCTTTGTCCTGCCTCAGCCTCTCTGTGTGTATTTGTGCCCCCCAGCCCCCATTGTGTGTCTCTTTGTGCTCCTTCCTCCTCTGCCCTTCTTTTGCCCCCCTCCTGTGCACTTCTTTTGCACACCTCCCCTCCTGAGCCCTTATTTAGCCCTCTTCCCTACTGTACCTTCTTTAGCCCTACTCCTCTACTGTACTTTTATTTAGCCCCCTCTCCTCCTGGGCCTTTTTAAGCCCCCCTTGCCTCCAGTGCTTTTATTTAGTCCACCTTCCCTGTGCCTGCTCAGCCTTACCTGGGTCTGCATTGGACGACCCTCTGCTCCCTGTATCTGGTCTGAGACGTAGCAGTTCTGTGCTCTCTCTGAGCACTTCCTGTCAGACTTAGTCGGGGAACAGAAGCTCCTCTACCGCGGCCTGCATACTCGGCAGTGCTACTTGCTGTAAGTGGCAGGAGGGGAACGCTGTGCAGTGTGCTCTCCTCCTGCGGTTACTGAGAGATCACACCCTCTGGGCACACCCCTAAGCAGTGGCACCCGGGGCGGACCACCCTCACCCCGCTTAGTGCGCCACTGGTTCTCAATGCTCAATTCTCTGCCATTTAGAAGTTAAATCACTTTGTTTATACAGCCCTAGTTATAATTCCCTGCATGTGACTTACACAGCCTTCCTAAACACTTTGTGTAAAGAGTCATCTAATGTTTATACTTCCTTTATTGCAAATTATATTTAATTTAGAAATTCCTATCCACTGCTCTGTTAATAGCTTTCTAGACCCTGCAGGAGCCTCTTGTGTGTGATTAAAAACTTTTAGAGTAAGTTACCGTGTGATTGAAAATGAAACCAATTTTTAAATGCAGTCTGTGTCAGTCACAGCTAGGGGAGGCGTGGCTAGGGCTGAATAAACAGAAATAAAAGTGATTTAACTCTTAAATGGCAGAGCATTGAGCAGTGAGACTTCAGAGGCATGGTTTACACACAAAAACAGTTTCATTTAGCTAAAGTTGCTTTGGTGACTATAGTGTCCCTCTAACCCCTTAGGGACTAAACTTCTGGAATAAAAGGAAATCCTGACATGTCATACATGTCATGTGTAGTTCCTATTCAGGTCTCAAATACTGTGTCTCCACTCACTTCTCCCATTGAAGGGAATGTACACCATTATTCTATCATGTTCCGATAGCTATATCTCCTCTGGGGCAGTCCAGTCCCAAAAATGCAATTTCAGTCCCATTTGAACACACTTTTATTCTCTATATAGGCAAGTCAGTAAAACAAATATACAATTTATCTATTTTCCATTTCCTTTCTGGAATAAAATATACAATTCCTTTATCAGGCTATTTTAAAGTGGGTCTGTCACCTCAAACTTAATTTTCTCTTACTGTTTAACACTCTGTTCTTTTCTTCAGTTCTGATCTATTTCTCTTGAAAGACACAAAGGTGGAGATTAAGGCATAAGGCAAGCCCCACTTCTATGAGAGAGCCTTGCTACCTTACTGTCTCTTTCCACTCTGTTTTATGCCTTGCCCATTGTTAGGATATTTATATCGGCAGACATTTTGAGCTAAGATAGAAAGTAAAAGTGTATATTGCCAGAGTCACTCAGACTCCATTTTGGATCTTCAGGCCAACAAAGACACATAATTTCTTCTTGCTTTCTGTAACTAGCCACTAACCTGAGCTAAGGAATGCATTATATAAACAAGCCAAGTGATAAGCAATGAAGCAGGGGGATGGAATGCTCTGTTTAAATGTTAATGGAATAGAAATAATTATAAACACAGACACTAGTGACAGAGAAGACTAAGTAATTTTACTTTCTAAATTTTACAAGGTCCCATTGTAAGTAAGGGGTGAAATTGAGTTTAGAACTGTCAATTTTAGAAATTACGACCAAAGTAGTTGCCACAAAGACTGAGGCAAACGCTTTGAACTGACAGCAAATTTAAGTTATGGTAGTCATTTTAGAGAAGCCAAATGACGTCAAAATCGTCATCAGGAAAAGTTAACTCTTTCCTGGATAGGAAGGTTTAGTAAGGCGAGACTGCCCTCTATGGATCAAATACCTAAATTATGATCTGCTGTACTAATGACGTACAGAGAGTCTGGCCCTTTAAAAGTTAGGACAAAGGGAATAGAGAGGTTAGTTTGGGCATTCAGATTCGGACATGCAGAGAGATTCAGGACACTCTCTGGGACTAACATTCAACTCTCAAACTCTCTTGGACACAACTCAAGAAACACTCCTTGACAATTAAAATTTTACTGATACTTTCTAACCAACACCACTTTTCTCTATTACTTGCACACCTCCATACAACCAATCATACTTGCATTCACGTTTCTGGGACTACCTATTCATCTGATGAGAATATCTACATAACTGGTAATTATGCTGGTTTTATTTAATTAATCTAAAGTAATTAAAATCTAATAGCATGCTATATGACTGGATAAATCACGGGCAGATTTCAATAATTAGAAATCTTAGTTCACTAAAGAATATATAGTTATACACATTCCATTCTGCAGGTGGAATTAAGAATAATTATATATTAATGTGATAGTATCACGTGTTAGCATACCGCTGTTTTTATCCAGGTGTATTGATTTGCTCTAAAATAAGATAAGATATCTTTTTAAGCAAATTAAAATTTGTCTTTTGTAAAAATATGGTAGATTATTCTTATTGGATGGTTCCAGGAAATGATTAATGAGCTGGTTCGAATGTTATTTTCATTGAAATTACATGAGAACAGGATACTATATGCCTAGGAGGATCTAGCCAGCATTGAAAGGGTTACTCAGTTGATTTAACTGTTAGCTGGGCTGTGTAAAGTTTTGCTTTCTGTGTCTGAGAAGTACCCATTAATCTTGTCTTGACAGTTGATGCTGTAGCTTTGTACTGTGTCTAGCCATTATATTGCATACTTATGTTATACTAAATATTCACTGATTAATATCATGCATGCTGCCTAATATTTTATTTGTCACAATAAATTATATCTATTTTTATAACAAATTGTGATTTTATTTGTATGGAATACATTTCACTTATATGATAACGATCTCTAAGATCCAAGAGAATTGAAATAGTGGGCAATTCTCAACTGTATAATATTATCATCCCATAAATATCCCCACACCATTTCATAGCTAGATCCCATCCCACCAGAATGATTCATCAAGGTGGGGACATCGGACCAAAGTTCTCAGGCGTACTTTAGAAGGTTACTTAAAAAAAAGCCTCTACTAATAATGATATATTTTTTTTGTCATCCTTAGCTCTGTGGGGTCCAACTCTCGCTGCATGGACCTCGAACATAAAAGGGCTAAGGAGAAAAGAGGAACTGCTTTGTCCAAAAGCCTTCAACAGGTGGATTTCTGGTGTAAGTCAATCTAGCCTGTGAATAAAATGAGACATCTTAAGAGAAAGCCACAGCCACAAATCAAGTGTCCTTAATAATTCTGAACCTTTATAATACAAATTATATTAAACTGCACGTGCTACTCTTTCAGTGTAGCAGGGGAACCAATTCTTCTTTGCATGGCTGTGGCCTCTTGATCAGGAAGAAAATGCATTTTAGTAAAGCTATTTCTTCTTCCAGTTGAAAACTGCATCCAGTAAAAATGGATAAATTACTTAGATTTTCTAGTTTGATAAATTCACAATAGTTTGTCTCCATGCAGATGCAGTATTTTTAAGGGACACTATAGACACCCAGCCCACATCAGCTCATTGAAGTGGTCTGGGTGCAGCGTCCCTGTCCCCTTAAGCCTGCCATGGTAATTGTTGCAGTTTCTGAAAAACTGCAGAAATTACCTTGCAGGGTTAAGACTGCCTCTAGTAGCTGTCAGTCAGACTTTTGGTGGTCACATCCAGCATCTATTAATTTCACATATGGGTAGGGCCTAATGCACTTGCGGTGTTTGCCGCGAATACACATTACACACTGTCGGGTGACGTTTGGGGGAGAGCGAGGTAGCTATAGTGCCAGGAATGCAACTATGTATTTCTAGCTTTATAGTATTCCTTTAATGATACATACTTATATATAATTTGTGTTCCCAGTTGTTTTACTTCTGGGAACAGAAGTTTCTCTTTAAGGAACAAAATTAGCAGTGATGCAATTCAAAAGGCCAACTACTTTTTTTTTTCATCTATACTTTTTTTTTCTTTTTGAAATGGCTGTACAGATGAAAAGATATTTTAACATTTGTGTATAGATCTCTATAGCTCTTGGCATACCTACACATATTCCTTCTGTGCTGGTAATACATTTGTGAGACTGCCTTGACAACACAAAGCCACATTACAATGTGGTATTTTTAGACATGAGGTCTAGTCACCAAACAACGTACTGTAATAAATTTAAAACCGAATTGTGTGTTATTTTAATAGGCAAAATGGATGATATAGAAAAATTCTTCAGCTCCACTATAGACACAACATGGCTAATGTAACCTGTTTTGCAATTCCGTTTTGAATTCACCACCATTAACTGTTCAGTTAATAAACACTTAAATGTTTCAGTCGTTTTGTATGCCATAGTATAGCTGTATTATTTTAAATATGCAGTGTATATTCAGTCAAGACTATATTTTTTTTTCTCCAGTATAAAAGTTTATTTATATATTTATTTTTATTGAATGCATAGCTGTCCTGGCACGGCCAGAGCATACCATGTAAATTAATTTAATCGTCACTCTGGTGAGGTGTTCGTACAGTATTTCTCTTTATGTTGCTCCCAGGGCATGATGGGAAGATGATGTCATTGTAGACTCAAATGCACTTGTTTTTTTTTTTTCTTACCTCCCATGCACTTTGACCTCTTCAGTAGCATTTATTGGTGTGAGGGATTGAGGAAATGTTAGTTAGAACTGATATTTCCTTTTTTAATTATTTTAGTTAAAAAAAAAAAAAGTTAAAATCCATATGAATACTGATGGAACCTTTCATTGGACTCCTGGGCAGATATTGGTGACTCTCCTCTCTTTCTTTTTGTTTATCAGTCTGCGAATCATGCCAGGAATACTTTGTGGATGAGTGTCCCACGCATGGACCTCCGATCTTTGTACCTGACACCCAGGTTCCCATTGGCATGACGGACCGGGCAGTTATGACTGCACCACGTGGTATCGAAGTGGTAAAGGACACCAGTGGTGAAAGTGAAGTACGTTGCATCAACGAGATCATTCCCAAGGGCCACGTCTTTGGGCCATACGAAGGGCAGATTTCCACCCAAGACAAATCTTCAGGCTTCTTCTCATGGCTGGTATGTACCTACTGCACAATGACATTAGTTTTCTCATTGGTCATTTTCATCTCTATTATAAACAAATACAATCTGGAGTGCGGCTGGGGTGTGGAAAGCTTCCTGCCCTAGCTTCTAATTCCAATAAAGTGTCTTATGTAGATGTCATAAATGTATCATTGACCTCTTGCTGTGTTGTACAATTTTAATGTGCACCTAAGCAAAAGCTCTGTTTTGGACTAGGCTGATGTCTCTGTGCTATATAGTGTTCATTTATCAGATTTTTAAGACCTTTAACCCCTTAAGGACACATGACGGGAATATTCCGTCATGATTCCCTTTTATTCCAGAAGTTCTGTCCTTAAGGGGTTAAGCAGTGCCACATTCCGACAAAATGTTCTGCCTAAATGTGATAGGAGTTGTAGATTAGGAAAGACCATGTAGACACATTTTGCTCTTCCTTCCTAAAATCAGGTAATCTGAATAATGTATTTTAAAAGTAGTGTATTTTTTTTTTCTTTTATTGTGATATATTATGAATACCTCTGGCTTTGGCTGTAACTAATCTACAGTATCTTTCTTTTCTTTCTTTTTGTAGATTGTGGATAATGACAACCGGTATAAATCTATCGATGGGACAGATGAGGCATGTGCTAATTGGATGAGGTAAGATTCTGTTGCACAATTTAACCAATGACATTTTGTGGCGCCCCAATCCATGCGTGTCTCTAATCTGTTTTTTATTTAACTTGAGGGTGTGTGCCGGTGATTAATATTAAAATGACAATACATTCCAGCTGAACAAGAGAATAAAATATGTCACACAGGATAAACATTAGCTGACCTGCCAGCACATCCTGGAGAACCACAATCCAGTCTTGGCAATGGGACAGAAACAAATAGAAGAAACCCAGTCACCCGGTCACAGTATGAACAAGTGGACTTGGAATATTTTGAAACTTCAAGTATGTCTTTGTCCAGCCCAGATAGGCAAAAATACACTTAAAGGTTTTGAAACATGCCTTCTATTTGGTGGAACCTTGAATAACCATGTTCACGCTGAGGCCTAGCTACTGGGCTCCTTCTAGTTTGTTGTTGACTGGGGAGCTTAGGAATTAAAGTCCTTATCTCATGCACCAGCTGCAGGGAAATTCCTGCATAGAGCATAGTGCTATTAGTGTCTGGCTTACTACACAGACCTCTGAGCCGGAAAGTAATTGTGCTGCGTGCCTGATCACCCTGTACAGGTAATTGTATGGCTCAGTGGGAGGACCTGCACTTCCTCACATTATGTCAGTGGGAAAAGGGTGAAGCCTGAGTTCTGGACCTGATGAGGAAGACTGCAAAACAATGAGAATGTAAAAGGTACGTTTTATAGGACCGTATCTTCTTAGCACTATGACTATTAAAATAAATTTTTACTCTTACTTCTTAAAGTTTTGCAAACTATAAAAAAAAAAAAGTGGAGATGAACATGTGGAATATAAGGAGCTTCTAAAAAAACACAAAGATGGTACAGATTTCACACCATTGTATTGAGAACCATTGTACTGAAAGACAATTGCTGAATAAATACTGTCGAGCTTCCTCTTACACAGGCAGCGTGGGCCAGGGTAAAAAATGTTTGTAAATTAAATCAACCAGCGCTTTTCCTGGCATTATATTTTGTTTTTTCTTTGTATGTATATGGTTGTGTTTGTGAATGTGTGGGTGTAGGTAGAAGTGTGTTCTGTCATGTGGGTATAGGTAGCAGCATGTGTTGTACTCTGTGTAATAGTACGGGTAGCACTGTGTGTCTGACAGTGTGGGTATTAGTGTCTGTGATAGGGTGGATGTGGGTAATAGTGTATGTGTGTGTGTAACAGTGTGAATGTGTTTAACTGCATGTTTGTAACAGTCTGGGTAGTTATGCATGTGTCCAATGTGAGAAGCAGTGTGTGTAGCAGTGAGTATGAATATGTACATGTCATGCTTTATTGAGGTCCTCATTTTAGCCACAGTCCTCTTCCCTCTCTCCCTCTGCTCTGCTCTGGGAACAATACAGAGATTAGGCTCCCTCAGAACTCCGTGATCCCAGATCCTGCATTTTCAGCTAATGCAAAGCACCACCGACAGTATAGGAACCTATGGCACTATTAGGCGTGCGCTTGTAGGCAGGTACCTGGAAATGCAGCTCTGTCACCAAGACTGAACTAATCAAATGGTAAAGGTTCAAACAAGCTTGAGACCTAAATTAGATTGTTTATTCTCAGCGCTCTCTTTTAGCATTTTTGTTGTTTTAATTTGCATAAAAATACAGCCAGCTCCAGCCTGGCTTCTCCGTTTAATAGCTTATCAAAAATATATATTTTTCTGATATAGATTATTAAAATGATCCCTTATCAGTTCAGATAGACTTACTATTCGGAGTCCAAATATTGACCTTGCAGAGTAAACAATTTCAGTCTTTTTTAGAGGGCACTTGTAAATTACCAAAATATTTTGTTAAAGAGTTATTATAGGCACCAAAACAATTCTAGCTTAATGAAGCAGTTTTGGTGTATGGATCATGCTCCTGCAGTCTCACTATTAAATTCTCTGCCATTTATGAGTTAAATCCCTTTGTTTATACAGCCCTAGTCACACCTCCCCACATGTGACTTATACAGCCTTCCTAAATACTTCCTGTAAAGTGAGATCTAATGTTTAAGCTTCCTTTATTGCGCATTATGTTTACTTTAGAATTTCATATCTGCTGCTCTGTTAATAGATTTCCAGACCATGCAGGAGCCTCCTGTGTGTACCGTATTTTTCGCTCTATAAGACCCACCTGACCATAAGACGCACCTAGTTTTTATAGTAGGAAAACAAGGTGGAAAAAAGTGTTCCTTAATACCCACTCCCCTTCCCTGTCCCATAGTGTTCTTCCGCCCCCCCCCCGTCTCATAGTGTTCCTTATCACCCACTCCCCTCCCCTGTCCCATAGTGTTCCTTATCACCCTCTCCCCCCCTCCCCTTTCCCACTGTGTTCCTTATCACCCACTTTCCCCCCTCCCCTGTCGCACAGTGTTCCTTCACCCACTACCTCCCTCCCTGTCCCATAGTGTTCCTTCACCCACTCCCCCCCTCCACCTGTCCCTTAGTACCCCTCTCTCTCTCCCCCCTTGGTCCCCGGTAGGTCTCCTACCTTTATGTAGCGTGGCCGAGCGGAGCAGTGCGCACAGGGAACCCGGCCTGAGTGAAAGGAAGTGAGCACTGAGTGCTCACTTCCTTTCAGTCCGGCCGGGTTCCCTGTGCGCACTGCTCCACTTGGCCACGCTACATAAAGGTAGGAGACCTACTGGGGACCACTGCCTTATAGCAATAGTGGTTACATAGCAGCTTTCTATATACAGGATTTAACTTTCATGTATATTTAATATTTGGCTCAAATTTGTTTTTGTGTGCTGTTACGAGTCCATGCACAATCAGAGATTACCTTAGTTAATCTCAATGTTACCACAAACAATTCCATTCTATGTAACTTGCATGTGGTCTGTGAGTATAACCCGTGGTGAATGTAGTTAAATTGGGTGGTTTGCATTCAGTCCAGAGCAGCGATTGAGGCCTCACAGGGTCATAATGAGGGGAATGCCAAAATATAATCTAGATTAGCTCACCGGACAATTTAGAAATTGGAATCATCCTTGATATCATCTCAGACTGGCAGAATCCCCAGACCTGCTGGCCTGCCTTACTGTATTGGAAAGCATTTCTACTTAATACTTCCTACAACCTTTCAACTCTATGACCTCGGTTTAACAAGCTTTCCTAATGATCTAATACTGTTATAAAAGATTCCAAGAGATTCATTTTCAGATGTCGCCAATAAAGTGTTTGGGAACTTTTGTAAATAAATCATTTTAAAAAGCTTACTTAATTAAGGCCAACTTACACCCACAGATCTGTGTCAACACAGGCACCTAACCAAACGTTCCACCTGCAGACCTGTGCAAACACGGGCACCTACCTTTTTTACAATTTTCTATAGAATCTGATAAGATAATCTATTTAGAAAGAGAATTCCAAATCTTTATTATGCTATCATATCCCCTCTAAGGTGCCTTTTTCTAGGGAAAACAAATCCAGTTTTGTAGCCATTCCTCATAACTAATGTTTTTCATGCCCCTTGCTAATTTTGTAGCTCGCCTACAGAGGTACCCTTCCGCCCACAGACCTGTGCAAAAACTGGCACCTATAAAACGTTTCACCCACAGACATGGCTAAAAACACAGCCACCAACTACCCACAGATGTGCAAGCACAGGCACTCCTGAATCCTTCCATCCACAGACACTTCCATCCAACCAGAAACATCTGCACCCACCAACACAGACATACATGCTCACACTGACAAGCCTACCTAACAAAAAATACAGCCTCTGCATTCCTTTCATTCCTCTGCTCCTTTCATGACATTAACCTGCTGCTAAAACCTTTTAGTTCTGTCGGCTCTTACAGTCTCATGTAGTGAGATGCCTTGGAAATAGTTGCCACATGCAGTTTATTTTTTTTAGATTTGTATTCCAGATGCATTCCATGTGTAAGTCTTTCGGTCCTGGCAGTATGGAAACTCGTAGACAGGCTAAGTGTTGCTTCATAGAAAGGATTAGATTTGGGGACGTGTACATTTTTTCTTTCTATAAAAATGTCCTAGAGTGCTCTGAAAATAATGGAATTGTAATCATATTTTAGATTCAATGCTCCTTTAAAACAAACTCACAGGAAGCAAAATAGACTATCTGGGACAAGAAAAGTTACTAATCCATTCAATGTTATGTCTACAGAAGGGCAGCCTTTTTTTGTTGCTTATTTTCTACGTTTTGTGTGCCTGCATAGACGAGCCAGCACATTGCAAATTATCTGTGCAGAGACTGTAATTTGTGATCTCAGGGAGAAGCCTTCAAACTCCAGACTTGAAGTATCTGCTGCTTTGATCATCAGTATCACTCACTCCACTTTATTAAAATTATCTATCGGCATACTGTCGAAGCACAGCTCCATTTAAATACAGTAGCAGTGACACGATTTGCCTCACATTGGAAACAGTTTTTTTATACCATTTAGGGATTTCAAAGTCTTAATCTGATTTGCTGTTACTGGGATACAAAGCAGTAAAATGATCTTACAATTCTTCGATGAAAAAAGGAAACAAGTAGTCTGAATAGACACTGGTATATGCAATACAATACAATGTATATATAAATACAAACTTTCTAAACTGCAAGAATACTTTTTAGGGTTTACTGTAATTTTTGCTCATTTTGTCTTGAAAGGTGTTTTATATTTTCAGAATGGCTGATGTAGATTGTAGAATAAATCAAAGAAGTGTTCTACGCTAGCATGGTGCTTATGCTGCCAATCGTTTCTGGGGCACCAGTTTGACAAAAAACGCGGCTTTTCCCGACACCCAGAAACTGCCTTCTCAAACAGATTGATAATGCAGACTGTAAACTTAAACATTTTCGATTTAAATTTCGTATAAACAGGATGGTAGTGAGTTGCTGAGAGTTAAATCTATATTAGTATTGCATAGGTGTAAATACTGCTTTAGTATTGAATCCGAGGAGCGGGTAGACTCTGGGTGCCCAGAATGAGCAAGTTTAGTTTTTTTTGTAAAACAGCTTAAAAAAGTTTGACAAAACTGGGAAGTTGAACTCAGAGACATGTGGCAGCCTAGCCGCTAATTTAAGTCGTAGCGGTTATGTTGTTTAGATTGTTGCAGTGTTACATATATGTGTTGAAACTTGCCGTTTTAAAAACAGGTTTGTGCCTGGATATAGCTTAGATTTTGACCTCGTTTGATGAACGTGCAATGCTGCCCTGTAGAAACAAGAAACCATTGACAGAGCTTTTTAGTAGTTGTGAGGATCAAACTTTATTTGCTGTGCTTGCTTTTTACTTTTTCTATAGAAATATGGGTGAATTACCTTGAAATGCCATCAGATAGCTACATTTCTACAAGTGCTCTAAATAATGTGATGCATGGTTGGGTGTACAGGCCTACAGGCAGGTAGATTTATTTGGGAAATCTTTGTTGATTAAAATGTCTTATTTTTCCTATCGGCTGCTTAGAGCAGTGGTAATGTCACTAGAATCAGGAAGCTCATGTTTGAATCCAAGTGTGCCTGGACAAGACACTTAGCGATATATACCTACCTACATTCATTGCCTCTTCCCCTTTCTATACTGTAAGTTTAACATGCTGTAGAATTTCTCTGCGCTATATAGTATAATAATAATACTATCAGCTTTATCAAAATGGCACAGTCAATGGTGGATTTATAGCTGGTATTGGACAATGTGTCAGGCAGAAGATGATGGACATTGTGGCCAAAAATGCGGACCTCCTCGTGCAACCTTGTATTTGTGACATGGTGGAAAATATTTAATGTCTATCAAACTGAGTTTTGAAAACTTTTCAGATTTGTGAGCGGTATTAGGACTGTCTCACATGGACTGTCTTCTATCCGTTTGACTGATCAGTTTGCATGAGATTCTAAAACCCTAAAGAGGGGCAATTGGGAAACCCCCATATGACTTCCAGAATCCACTAGACAACCTGCAAACATTCTGAGAATACTTCTAGAGAGCACTGTTAGTTTTTGAACTTTTTTGAATTTGGCATTATCTTCATCTGTAAGAATTTTTATATCTTAACGTATCTCGTCTTTTATAACTCTTAGGTATGTGGTGATCTCCAGAGAGGAGAGGGACCAGAATTTAAAGGCTTTTCAGCACAGTGAGAAGATCTACTTCCGAGCTTGCCGTGACATCCAGCCCGGGGAGAAGCTGCGAGTGTGGTACAGCGCTGATTACATGAAGCGACTGCACAGTATGTCTCAGGAGACCATCAACCGGAATCTCACCAGAGGTATCTAGCATCTTTCTGTCTACTTAAGCTGTTAACTCAAATTCTCCATCACTGCTAATACTTTGTGTATGTGGTTCAAAAAAGCCACATTCGTTGGGACATTCATTGTTGTATCTCTATCTTTCTACGAGCCTTACTTTTCCCAAGAATCTTTACAACTGAATTAGTGTTTATGCACCATGTGTTCCCAGCTATTTTTCTATATAGGTGTTTTTTTGGGGGGGGGGGTTGCATGTATATTTCAGAACACTTCTTGAATGATTGCAAAGTTCTACATAGGTTAAGGAAGCTCATACACAGAAAAGTCAGTTCCTTAAAGGAAAACCATCAACTCCTGCGGCCATTTAAATAATCCGGTCTGGAGCAGCACTTAGCAGACTGAAGATCGCTCTGCTTTCCCTGGCAGCACACTCTAATTAACACAGTCTATGTACCTGGCGATGACAGCTGATGTCATCACAATGTGAAATATCTATGCAACAAAGCAACGTAACCCTCGGTCAAGCAAGCTCTGCTCCTGAGCGAGGATTACTTTAATGGTCGCGCTTAGGGGAGGAAACGCTGCAGGAGATTCCAATTTTCCTTTAAATGCAATAGAGCTGGGCATTGCATGTAAAGGGGTCTATTTAATAAACAATGATTTACAGTGAAACTGTTCTTCAAGATGAAAAATGTTGTCCAAGTAAAAAAAAAAGTTACACTTTTTCAGAGTTTGTGATATTATAAAAAAAAATGTTTTAATTTTATTTATTTATGAATTCTTCAGTTTCGCTTTTTTTGCCTAATTTTAGGACAGTGGTTGTTTTCTCACGACAATTCAATGTCTAGTAAAAAAAAAAAAAAAAAAATTAATAAAAATAATAAATACAGGTGTTTATGCTCAGTCCGAGTTTACTCCTAGAATTTGTTCCCGTAAATGTAAACTTTGATTTTTGAGCCTGAAAGTTGTATATAACATATTCCTGTTGATAAAAATATTTAGTTTAAAGGGGGAGGGATTAGAGCATGTAGTGGAATCGTCTTTCGTAGTGAAGTTTTGTTACATTGGACTGTTTTTGTCTACGTGTATCAGTCAGTAGACAGAGTGCACTGCAAGGCATCTCCAGAACGACATCTTATAGTATACAATTCTGCTACAAATGGACATTTTCATTTCAGCATAAAAGATATTTACTGCTTTGCAATCTTATTATAGGTATATCTCCTGCAATTCCAGGTAGATATATCTGCTGCATCTTAAACCACATCTTTAGGTCTGGTAAGAAACGTAAGATTGTCATTCAATGCACAAAGCATAGAAACAGTGTGACGGCAGATAAGAACCATTCGGCCCATCTAGTCTGCCCAATTTTCTAAATACTTTGCATGAGCTCTCAACAGCAACAGCATGTATCAGGGCTAAAGAACACAAAAGGAGGAGGTTGGTGAAAATCACAACTCTGAAACATCATGCACTTAAACAGCAGAGCAACTGAAGACCATATTAGACTTTGGAACAATCTGAACATGTGACCATTTTCCATAGCCTCTTCCTTTAACCTTTCAAATTGATCTTCTTCCATATTTTCCTTAAAGTCCCCTCTTTTTGTTTCTATACTTTTATTTTTTTTGTACAGATTCCCAGTACTTGCCCTGTATGTGCTGTATAAATCCACAGATCGCATCGTATTGTTTTTCCCTAATTCCCCAGACTCGGAGGCATCACATTTACTTTTGCTTTCTTTAATAGCAGTAATTATGTGTTTGATATTAAACAAAAAAAAACAAAACCTGAAACTAGGACTGTTTGTTAACGTGCCACATGGTAGCTCAGAGCTGATGTAGTTCACTTTACAGCTAAAAGTTTATCTTCTGAACTAAACATATTTTTGCGTAGGCGCAAGTTCTAACCTTCAAGTGAATTATGCACGTTGTTCCAACACAATCTGTTCTTATATTTAAGAGTATTTTTATAATATCCACAAACATTTACATCAAAGCCTGAGTTATCTAGAAAAGTGTTGCCTCTAGAATATGTAGACACTGCTTTTCAACATGGTGGGCAAATCTCTACATTTACGAGAAGAATACACTGTTTCAAAGCCAGTGCTTTGATATTTGTTGTTTTTTACCACTGGTACTGGTTATTTGGTTAACATGTGTGTGGCTATTTGAACGTAACTCAGAAACCCAAAAGGACAAAGACGCATAGTCGTGTGTCATTTATGAACATGGAAATATAGCCTATGTTAACAATGAAATCTGCCCTATAAACTGTGATTAAGAAACAAAGTGAAGATTCATTAAGCAGTCATGCTCATTATTAACTCCTAAACCTGGAGTTACATATATTGAAACAAAATCTCAGCCGTTTAGGGCCTTTATCTGTCTAATGTATAATACATTAGTATGAAATGGGTTAATGTAGGGGCATTGACTAGTAGTTTTCTGTTGTAGTGTACAAAGGAACATTGGAGCTGTAGGTGTCCGTAGTTGTTCTTCTGTGTTTGATTGAGCTGTGTCTACATTTTCCATTTTGGAGAATAATTGTGACCAGGTTGTGTATTTGTTACTGAGATGAGCGATGAGCTGCCCAGGTCTTAATGGGAGTATCATGCGGATGAGCCTACTGGTCACAGTGGAAGCCACATACTAACAAGCTACCCAGACTACAATGAGAGCTGCATAGTCATGGTTTCCTACCGTAATATCCACAGCCACTGAGGGAGGACCATATACAATCTGGAAACAGTGTATTTGTTGGTGCCATGGGCCACATAAGAGCTGGTACATTTTATCTGTTTTGTTTGAAGAGCACATTATGGGTTGCTTCCTGTAATATTTGCCAATGGAATATATATATGTCGTTTTGAATGGTGCGGTATCCTTAACTGAAAATTGCCTTTTGGAATGGTAGTATTCTATTTGTGAACCTGCTGATTTATTACTGGCTAGTTTTCACCAACATTCTAGAATGATGGGGCTTTCAGCACCATTTCCAGAATGTACTTGCTTTGGGATCCAATCACTACCTACCTCATTCGGGCTCAAAAACAGATATGCAGCTATTCAGTTCCCTTTATGTGTATTAGGTTACAGTTTTTGAAAAAGTACAAAATGATTATTATTTTAAAATATATTACCCATATTTTATAGATAATCCTGTCCTCCCCCCAATATATTTTATTTTATTTATTTATAAAATATTTTACCAGGAAAGATACATTGAGATTTCTCTCGTTTTCAAGTATGTCCTGGGTCCACAAATTATTGCATTGTTACAGGGGCAAGGGTTTCCAAAGCCTCCTGTGTGCCACATTTACTATGATAACTTGACCAGGATGTGAGGTCTATTCCCTTGGACACACCTCCACAGATATGTTTGGCCACCAAATAACTTCTTACCTACTGTAGTACTCCTTCTCCAGCATTGGAAGGCAGAAACATAATGAATAATTTTCTGGAAATTCAGAAACCTGTTTAGGCCTCTATGGTGGCACTCCCCTGCATTGTAATTGGCTGGGACTAGTTTAAGCTAATCACATTGCATTTTACATTTTTCAAGTGATAGGATTTGTTTTAGAGGAAGGACTTCACTCATTGAGTAGATGGATTAAATCAGGCAAAAATGCTATCAGTCCCTTTAATAAATAAACATAAAAGAAAAACTACTTAACGTATTTTAGCAGCCTGCATGTTTACTTAAAAAAGGGGAATTACCTCCGCCTGTCTTCTTTTAAAACAAAGGTATGTATATATTTATTTTACTTGCTAAGTTTCCTGAATACTATATTATAGAGGAAAATGTGCCACGTTGTCAGCCATATAAAACCGGCCCGAGAATGAATACCAGTACTTCCGTGACAGTGTAGTTATATATTTTAAATTCTGAGCTGATAGCAAGAAGGGCTGTCTAGTTCATATGCCATTTTTCCTTCTGATCTGTGCACCTATTAGCAGAAAACATAGACAGATTTCTAAGCTGTACATTCTTGTCATAACTTTTAAGATTTTTTTTTTTTTTTTTCATTTTATTCAAGTGTATTTTTTTATTTTATTTATTTTTAAAATCTTACTACGGTGTGTAGGAAATTTAAATAACAATCTTAAACACTATGTCAGTTCCTAATGTTTTCTTTTTCCCGGGGATCATGTGTCAAACTGGTAACACACCTAATTTTCCTTTCTAGGAGAAAAAAGGGTGTTTATTGAAAAAAATGACAAACTTTTGGAAAACCAAGAAGACGTGAAAGGCATCTTTCCATTGACAAGCTTTAAACAAGGGAAGAGCCTTTACAAGCGGAGTTATGAGGAGGGAGACATACACCCTCAGACCAAAAAGAAAAAAATTGACCTTATCTTCAAAGATGTCCTCGAGGCTTCTCTGGAGTCTGCCAAAATGGAAGAGTGTCCTTTGATGACCAGTAGCCCCATCACAGTAAAAAGGTCTTCTAAGTACCAATATGAAGACCATGGAGAGAGGTGCAAAGGAAACAAACAGTGTTCTCCTACCCCAAATCAGACACGGACCCAGATGGAGTGGAAAATTCCCCAAGCTTCCACTCTAGGTCTCGAGAGGGAAGCCAGTCTGCCAGATGATGATGGGGAAAATCATTTGTCCATTAAAGCAGAAAGTCCTGCTGAATCTTCCACAGTAGGTGATCTTGAAGAGATCCCTTCCACCTCTTTCTGTCCAAACTGTATAAGGTTGAAGAAGAAGATAAGAGAACTTCAGGCTGAGCTGGAAATATTAAGGTCTGGCAGGGTCCCAGAAACTCCCCCATTGCCCCATCATATAACTGAGGTCCCAGAACTTTCTGATATATCAGGTAAGAGAAACCAGAATGAAAGATAGAAATTAATTATTAACACTAGCTTGGTGACACAAGTACTCTAAAGTTTACTCTGTTCATTTATTACAAATAAAACTTAAACGTGTTAATCTTGGTCCTCTGGTTTGCATATCTATATTAAGAATTTAATGTATAGAATTGAGAGCAGCATTTTATTATATAACTTATATTAAATGTAATTTAGAAACATTTGCAGATGGAACTGATTCTAAAACTGATTGTGATGTCTGAACTGCCAACAGGAGCATCACAGTACAGTGGTGTCTGGCTCTGTAAGATAAACACTGTTGATTTTTAAAAAGATTGCATTTTTTTCCCTAATATTCAATTTTATGTATGTCTTTTTTTTTTTTTGTATTTTATTATTGTTTAATTACTACTAAGCTGTATGTTAAAAAGTGAACGCAGCTTGTTACAGATTGTAACCAAACGCAAACATAGTTTCTTGCTCTGTAGGGTCACATGGTGCATAAATGTAGCTGTGCACACACCTTTCTGTCTTCTATTACATTCCCTTGTTTGCTATTCAGCATTTTATTTAAATGTTGATGTTTTTGAAGTCTTTTTAAAAAAATTTCCCTTTTGTTTTTTTTTGTTTTTTCCCAGTTCCAGAAAGCATGGTCATTGCTCCCACCATGATGGAAGATGATGACCAGGAAGTAGACTCCGCTGATGAATCGGTTTCCAATGATATGATAGCAGCTACTGATGAGCCTTCCAAGATTTCAGCTGCCACTGGCAGGCGAATACGTAGATTCAAACAAGAATGGCTGAAAAAGTTCTGGTTTTTGAGGTACTCGTCCACATTGAACGAAATGTGGTGCCATGTATGCAGGCAATACACCGTGCAGTCGTCTCGGACTTCTGCTTTTATTATCGGTTCAAAGCAATTTAAGATACACACCATCAAACTCCACAGCCAAAGCAATCTCCACAAAAAGTGTTTGCAGCTCTACAAGTTGAGAATGCACCCGGAAAAGACAGAGGAGATGTGCAGAAACATGACTCTTCTTTTCAACACTGCATACCACTTAGCAATGGAAGGTAGGCCTTACTATGATTTCAGGCCCCTGGCTGAGCTATTGAGAAAATGTGAACTCCGAGTAGTTGACCAGTACATGAATGAGGGTGATTGTCAAATCCTGATCCATCATATTGCCAGAGCACTTCGTGAAGACTTGATAGAACGTATTAGACAATCTCCATTCCTGAGCATCATCTTGGATGGACAAAGCGAAGACCTGCTCACTGATACAGTGGCGGTATATGTCCAATATACTAGCAGCGACGGACCACCTGCAACAGAGTTCCTTTCTATTCAAGAGCTAGGCTTACCTACGACTGAGAATTATCTCCAAGGAATTGACAGAGCTTTCTCAGCACTTGGGATCAGACTGCAAGATGAGAGGCCAACGGTAGGCTTGGGTGTTGATGGTGCCAATATCACTGCTGGGCTTAGAGCAAATATGTATATGACAATCAGAAAAACCTTGCCTTGGTTACTGTGTTTGCCTTTTATGGTACACCGACCTCACCTAGAAATTTTAGATGCAATTAGCGGAAAAGAGCTTCCATGCCTCGAAGAATTAGAGAATAATTTGAAGCAGTTACTTAGTTTCTACCGATACTCTCCTCGACTTATGTGTGAGCTACGACTCACAGCTGCAACCCTTTGTGAAGAGACTGAGTTTTTGGGTGACATCCGTGCTGTAAAATGGATCATAGGTGAGCAGAATGTCCTAAATGCGTTGATTAAGGACTACCTGGAAGTAGTGGCACATTTGAAAGATGTCAGTGGACAGACTCAAAGAGCAGATGCTTCTGCTATAGCACTTGCCCTGTTACAGTTTCTCATGGATTATCAGTCAATTAAGCTTATCTACTTCTTGTTGGATGTGATTGCGGTTTTGTCACGCCTAGCCTATGTCTTCCAAGGTGAATACCTTCTTGTGTCCCAAGTGGACGAGAAGGTGGAGGAGGCTATTCAAGAAATCAGTAGGCTGACTGATTCTCCTGGCGAGTACCTTCAGGAATTTGAAGAAAATTTCCGTGAAAGCTTCAATGGTATCGCTTTGAAAAACCTACGTGTGGCAGAAGCTAAATTTCAGTCCATTCGGGAGAAAATTTGCCAGAAAACCCAGCTCACATTGGCCCAACGGTTTGATTCCCGCAGCCGATTGTTTGTTAAATGCTGCCAAGTGTTTGATTTATCTGCATGGCCCAGGAGCACAGAGGAGCTCATAAGCTACGGTGAGGAGGAAATGTTACAGATATATAACCACCTAGAGAGTATACCTTCATTTCTCACAGATTTGCCCAGGGAAGCCTCTGATCCAAGGGGAAGTATGTTGATGGAATGGCGAGAGCTCAAAGCAGATTACTGTATAAAAAATGGTTTCAAAGATCTGATCGGTCACATTTGTAAGTACAGGCATAGATTTCTGCTTTTAAATAAGATCGTTCAGATCTTAAAAGTCCTTCCGACTTCAACAGCCTGCTGTGAAAAGGGACGCAATGCTTTGCAGCGGCTACGCAAAAACAACCGTTCAAGGCTGACGTTGGATCAGCTAAGTGATCTCTTGACCATAGCAGTGAACGGTCCCCCCATTGCCAACTTTGATGCCAAGAGAGCTCTGGACAGCTGGTTCGAGGAAAAGTCTGGAAACAGTTATTCTTTATCGGCAGAGATGCTCAGTAAAATGTCTTCTATTGACCAGAAGCCCATGCTTCAAACAATGGAAGTTGGATCAGAGTATTATCAGGACATTTAGGATTCTGCAGCCATGAACTGTAGAATACTTTTTTCTATCTATACTCTTAAGTTTTGGTATATTATTAAAAACAAATTATATAAATATATATATATATAAATATATTAAAAAAAAATATATAACACATATATGTTACTAAATATATATATGTTATATATGTATATTCCCACTAAAGATTAAACATGACTGAGCCTTTTTGAAAACCTCCCAAAGAAAAGGTATCATATTCCTCACTTCACACACGGCAGCTAGGTAGGCAGTAGGTGCACGATGTCTGTCTAGCAGAGCAGGAACCCCCTTTCACTCCCCAACCCCCATTCTCTAAGCTTCCTCAATGCATGTACAGTATACCAGATCAAGGTACCTATTTTTCATTGAGCTGTCACCTAACACTTATTTGCAGTAGTCTTTGTAGTCTGGAAATAAATTATGTGGTCCTTCTTCAGCAGTTCGACACGTTCCAGAAGCCATCGAGGGTTCTAAATATTTAATCAATGTTACCATTTTATTTTTGCTAAATTGTTTTACTATGTTCAACAGTGGTTTCATTTTAATTTTGCTAAATTGTTATGTTCAACAGAAACAGTTGTTTGCTATAGTACTTTTTTAAACCTAGACAAGATGGATAGTCTTGGTGGTCCAGATGTTTCCGAGCCTTGTATACAAAGTTGCTAAGCCAGCATTAATTCAGAATTGCCACTTTGTATTTTTGGACCCTCCCTCCCAATGATGTCTCAAGCTGGCACCAGGAAAATAAATGGAGGAGATTCTGCACCTCCTCTGTGTTTTCCTGCCATGTCTGGAAAGATCCCTTACTTTCTCAAGCAAAGATCACTTTTCCCATCAGTTCTCGCCAGTGACTGCTGATCAGACATGTTAAAGCAAAACATGACTTAATCTTCATTTTTTTGCCCGGTTTTTCTTTCATTTTTCAAGGCGTATATAGGGCAAGGTCAGCCGTGTCTTGTTTTCTAGACATAGATTGCTTTGGAATATCAGTGAAATTCCAGCACAATATATAGGCTATTTTTAAAGAATCCAAGTGAGACATCCTCTTTACTGCTGGCTGAGCACCTTGGGAAATGTAGTTCAGAAACATCTGAAATGCCATGTCCAGCCATCACTAATCTAGACTTGTTCAGTGTCTAAGGGTTAAGGGAAGCTTTTTGGGTCCAGTCGGTTCAGAAGACACATTCTCCAAGGTGCTAAGTACAACTTAGCTATGTTGTTTGGCATCTTGGCCGCAAAAGACACACTGTAGACATTTTGTTACTTTTGTAACAAAAGAACGTCTTTTTCTGAAACATTTAATATTTTATTAATCTCTTATATGTAGACTTGACTTTTAAATATATGTTGTGACAGTTAATCTTAAATCAACAGTGAGGTTACCAGCCCAGCCCATGTTGGCCACGTAAAAGGAATTACTTTTCAAAACTCCCTGATATTTTGTCACTATAACAATTCCGTTTAACAGAATAAGCTATGTGTGAATGTGTGGCGGGTTATGGTATGGTTATGGAAAAATATAATAAATACACTTTTGTTTATACATACATATATATAATTTTTTTTTCCAATTATTATTTTTAATAAACACCAAAATAAAAGCAGAGCAGTTGATCAAAATCCTCGGAGCAGTGAAGGAGAAAAAAAATTAAAAACATTATTTGTTTTACTGCATAATGCTTTTCATGTGCTGGCCTGCAGTATTTACAATGTTACATGTATAAAATAATCTCAAAACAAAAAATACCAGGCACTACTCTTTATGTCCTACCCATCAATTTGAAGACGTTATGTGTGTTTGGAGTACAGGGTATTGTTTACGTCTAAGCAATATACTCATTACAAAACATTTTGTTTAAATACTTAAAAAATGGTGTTACGCTTTGGGAACTAACAAATATTTCAGGTGAATTGGGTAAATCATAATCATTTAAATGTCCTATTTGTTTGAATTACTACAAAGGGCTCTGTGATATTATTATTTTTCTTTCAAAAGGTTTTGTATTAAATTTGACCTCTCGTGCATATCTGTCCACACCTGACAGCAATTTATATCATGAATTGGAAATATTTGTTGCCACAAATTCGCTAAACCACTAACTGCCGAGAATTAACTAGAGAATTGGATGTTTTAGGGCAAAATAGGTGAACTCGAAAAATATCTTTTTACAATGTTTTTTCCTACTTTCGTTATTTTAAGCTAAAATGTGCAATTTTCTTGTCATTCCTTTTGTTTAGTGAATAAAGTGTTATAGGTGGTTTGCACTCTGTCACGAGAAAAATAATATAAGAAAAATTGAGATTACATAAGAATAGACCACTGGCCCCAATATAAGCTTGTGTGTAGGATTTATTACTAAATCAAAATAAGAAATAGCTATGTATTAAAGTAATGACAATCATCAAAGAATGTTTCCAAAACATGGAGGTTGAACGTGCTAAAACAAATGCCTGAATCGTGAAAGAACTTTGATTGTAGGAGAATGAACAATAGAATTGTGCCTGGTGAAAATATTTGGTTCGTCCGAAGCAAAAATTTGGTTTAGGCTATTTGGAACTCATCTATTTGGCGTTTAGGTTCGGATGGATTTTGTCCAAAGCTAACATTTCCGGAAAAAATGATTCTTCCAAAGTAAAATGCTGTAAAAATGCACCTATCAATAAACTGCAAAATATATAAATAATATTTATATGTTTTTGAAGTACACTGATTAGCCCATTTTTGCATCACTTGATTTACAGATCAAGTGAGAAGAAGTAACCAACAGAGGTTAAAAAACAAGAAGCAAAAATATATATATATATATATATTTATATCAGGGCTCAAAATTTCCACTTGCTGCTAGCCATTGGCGGGTAAAATTTAGCCTGTACCCCAGTTGAATGTGCAAATGAATGTTCAGGCTTACAGTGGCAAGTAATTTCTAATGTCTGGCTAGTATAGCAGGATTTTAAATTTCAAACCCTAATTCATACTTTATATTTTTATTAAATATATATTATATAAATCAAGATTATTTTTTTTAATGCTCCTCTTTTTCCCCCACTATTGGTCACTTCCCACATGATCTGGGAATAAAATCAACAATTAGTAACTGTCTCCTAGCCAACTGTTATCTTTTCTTTGTTCCATCGATCATCTTTTATTTTTAGGTCATATGGCAGAATACAGATGATTAGCCGATTGTCCAAAGTTCAGACAAATTGAAATTCTATAGAAATTGAATACACGACTAATGAGCAATATGGCAGCAGTAAATATGTGTCTGAACAAAGCATGGAAAATAAATGTAACTTAACTAGAATCTCAGTCATTCCGTTGTACACAAATACCCTCTAAATTTTCATTGCAAAAAGCGGTATCAGTGAAGTTACTTTTACCCGGCGTGATTTTATCCATTTAGAAAAGGTGAAGGACCAGACACTAATAAATAAGTTCAATTTAATAAGTTTGAACTTGACAAAAGCTAGTTTAAACAGCTTTCCATGTCTTAAATTTCATTAAAGGGTGTGACAACATGACAGTAAGGTGTATGGAACGACATCCGAATCCCTTCACCTGAAAAGAAACTCAATTGGTATAATTGTCTGTGACTAATGGCTGTCAAAACAACAAATATAACAAAAAATGATGTCAGATGCTTTGTCAATATGTCATAACACCAAAAATATTTCACTGTAGGTTATGCTTCCCATGGTGATATGAGTTTACAGGTATTCTCTTTGTGAGGCACAACGTTCTTTTAAAATCTCACCTTTCTAACTGTTGCAATATTATAATTAAAATGTCCTCATTCCCAGGTCTTGGGGCAGTAGTGTTCTACTTGTGGGAACCCTGAGATTAATAATGGCCCATTAGCAATCTTGTATTACACATAATATGGTATTTTGGAAATATAATTATTTTTTTTTTTAAATAAACCCACATGACTTAAATCATGTCACGCTTATGCGTTCCACGTGCCTATGTCGTAGCCTGTGAATCAACGGCACCCTAGATAGCTCTGCATACTTCAGCCAAGTTGTTGATTTCCTTGGGGTCTTTTACATCTTTGCTGTAGCTAAACTAATCCCAGGCGTTGCTAGTGACTTGATGCTGTCATTTTCTCCTGAGGAGAAGTTGTATCAATTTTTCACTGCTTTTTAAATCTCCACCACCGTGTCGCCAAGCATTAAATGCCCTACTTTTAAGGTTAAGTAGATTTTTGTGGCAACCAAATGCTGTGACGTAAAATAATCTGTTTGTTCGCAGCGTCTTGAAAAGAAAAATTGTATCAAATGGCAGTATTTCTTTATGGTATTTTTATTAACTCACCATCTTTGAGTTCATAGAAATGCAGAAGAAATATTTCTCATGATATTGATTTTTGGATCATTATTACAGGATCGTGAGGACTGTCCTTTGGTATTCGACCTCACCGCACAGGGATTACAGAAGATTATTATACAGTTTCTGAGAATGAGAACTAGATATGCTCATTTTAATTCTAAGTGGATGCTTCAATCATTTTCAAACAGTTTGTGACTCACCGAGAGCTCCCTCACACAGACCAATTCATATGCATTCATTTTACTAGTTTGTTATACATTTTATGTGAAAACATCTTCATGCTAATCAGTGGAGATACAGAAAAAAAAATGTTCATTTTCTTAAAGGTGAATTTGTGTTGACTTAAATTGTCAATTCCTTTTTCAATTCTCTGTAATGCTCAGTATAGTGAATAAACCCCAATGTTTTAACAGTTCAGTTACATAGCTGAAAATTGACTTGCGTGCATCAAGTTCAGCCTTCCTCACATTTGTTTTTTGCTGTTTGATCCAAAAGAAGGCAAAAAAAAACAGTTTGAAGCACAATTTTGCAACAAGCTAGGAAAAAAATTCATTCTTGACCCCAGAATGGCAATTAGATTTATCCTTGGATCAAGCAGTTATTACCCTACAAAGATTATATCCTTGAATATTCTGTTTTTGCAAGTATGCATCTAGTAGCTGTTTGAACATCTGTATGGACTCTGATAAAACCACTTCTTCAGGCAGAGAATTCCACATCCTGATTGTTCTTACAGTAAAAAAACCTTTCCTTTGCCTTAGACGAAATCTTCTTTCTTCCAGTCTAAACGCATGGCCTCGTGTCCTATGTAAAGTCCGGTTTGTGAATAGATTTCCACACAATAGTTTGTATTGGCCCCGAATATATTTGTATAATGTTATCATATCCCCTCTCAGGCGACGTTTTTCTAAACTAAATAGGTTTAAATTTGTTAACCTTTCTTCATAGCCGATATGTTCCATTCCTTTTATTAATTTTGTAGCCCGCCTCTGCACTTTTTCTAGTGCCATAATATCCTTCTTTAGAACAGGTGCCCAAAATTGCACAGCATATTCAATATGGGGTCTTACCAGTGATTTATAAAGAGGCAAAATTATATTCTTGTCCCGAGAATGAATGCCCTTTTTCATGCATGACAATACCTTACTGGCCTTGGCCACTGCTGATTGACATTGCACATTGTTGCATAGTTTGTTGTCTATAACAATTCCCAAGTCCTTTTCGTGTGTTGTTATCCCTAATTCGCTTCCATTAAGGGTATACGTTGCTTGTGTATTCTTTACGCCGAAGTGCATAACTTTGCATTTTTCAACATTACATTTCATCTGCCATTTGAGTGCCCAGTCCCCCAGTCTATCTAAATCCCTCTGCAGCAAAGTAATATCTTGCTCACATTGTATGATTTTACAAAGTTTTGTGTCATCTGCAAACACTGAAACATGACTTTCAATGCTGTCTTCAAGATCATTTATAAATAAGTTAAATAAAAGGGGTCCCAGAACAGACCCCAGAGGGACACCGCTTGCCACCTCTGTCCAGCTTGAAAATTTACCATTAGTGACAACTCTTTGTAATCTGTTTTTAAGCCAATGTTCTACCCAAGAACAAGCATTTTCATCCAGACCAATTTCCTTGAGTTTGAACACTAATCTATTGTGTGGAACTGTATCAAATGCCTTGGCAAAATCCAAATAGATCACATCCACGGCAACACCCTGATCTATACTTCTACTTACTTCTTTGTAGAACGCAATCAAGTTAGTTTGACATGACCTGTGCTTCATAAAACCGTACTGATTTTTGCGGATAACCATGTTCTTCTCAAGTAATTCTTGAATATTATCCCTTAATAACCTTTCAAATATTTTACCAGCCACAGAAGTTAAGCTCATAGGTCTATAATTTCCAGGCAAGGATTTTTAACCCTTTTTGGAGGCCTTCCTCCAATCCTTGGGAACACTTCCTGAAAGAAAAGAATCTTGAAAGATTAAAAACAGAGGTTCACCTATTTCTACACTAAGTTCCTTAAGTACACGTGGATGGATACCATCAGTCGCTGGAGCTTTGTTTATATTAACTTTCTTTAGTTGCTGCAGCACCTTTTCTTGAGTTAACCAATTACAATTATTCTGCAAGTTTTTAGTAGCAATCATTTGCACATCTATTGCCATGGGTTCTTCCTTAATATATACGGAGGAGTTGTTTTAGGTTATTTTTTTAGAACAATGTATGCTTTCTTTCTTTCTTTCTTAAAGCTTATATTCTTTCTTTTGAGTACTAGTTACCAGTAACTATCGGCTCCCTGTTTCTGATCCCAAGGTGAGGTGGTTGCACTCTAGTGAGAAGATGTGATAGGAAATTAGGTCCTAAGGCAGATGATCAAGGACTCAGTTGTGTTTTCGTGAAACTATATTTCATATAAAAGCACAATTTGAGATATTAAAGGGTTACTTCAAGGAATCTTTTCATTGATTTAAAGTAGTCATGGTGCCTGGAGTCAGTATGTGCAGCATTTCACTTTGTCAGCTAAGGGGTTAATGTCTGTATGTGCATTGTTTCAAAGTGAAGTTCTGCTCTGGCTATTATCAATTCTGTGCAAAATTGGCATCAGGCGCCACAAAGGCAGTACGGCATCCCCCTGCGTGTCGCGCATGTAAGTATATACATTTTTTTTTTTTACATTTGGATGTGTGACCACCACAGAAGAGCTACTCTAACCAAAACCAGTGTTTTATGAAAAAACTGTTTTTGGTTGGAGTAACCCTTTCATAAGTAAAAAGAAAGAGTGTAGGCTTTATCTGTTTTGCATTTATTGCAGTGTTGGTGAATGCAGACAGGTACTTTGCAGAGAGATATAGTAAAACATACCCGGACTAACCTTAATTTCAGTTCCAGCTTTTTTACATTTATAAGATTTGATGCGTGACATTTAAGTGGAGAATTAGGTTTAACAATCATTGTCACTGCAATATATTGTCAAAATTTCCTTATTACAAAATTACTGCCGACATGCAATAGCTGCTGCTATCAAATATAAAATCAAAAGCACTTGCACAAATCTGAGACCACAATTCCTTAGCCACAAATACTTATCCGTAAGCCATGATTCCCATGGATTTATACACTTTCTGGAACATTTTGGTCTTCTAGGTGTGAATAACCTATGTGTATGTGCATGATGGGCACTGATTTTGTAAAAAAATAAATAAAGATGATTTGGGAACTGGGTGGGTCTCACATTGTGATGCCTAGCTTCGAATAGTTGAATGAAAGCTTTTACCCTCTACCTTCACTGCATTTTGATAATGACCCTGTATCTGCTTTCTTTTTTGGCCAGTATTGGTGATTATTTGAAATTTGAGCTACAACCCAGGGCTGTTCTTTTATTTCTTCTGGGTTATGGTGCTAGATTACAATACACTTTAATGCTGCTAGAATTTAGTGCTTTCAATATATAAATATATTCTGATTTATTTTATATAGTGCATTTCACTGCCATTGCATCTTATTGATTTGTGGATTCAGTGCGACAGACTTTATTCTTACAATTGTCCTGGCTTCACTATCCCCCATTCAACTTGGTTTAGTGTTCCATTTATATATTGTTTTTTTTCCGTGAATTAAGCTATTCGCACGTTTGTAAGCTACTGGATGATCTACAGAGTCTCTCTTAGAAAATTACGAGAGACCATGTATTTTAGGCCTTGATAACTGATCTTGTGATTTATTGTTTAAAAGACCCCAAGTGTGTGTTTTGTACTTTTTTTTTTTTTTTGATGAAGCTATTCACAGTAACGTGTGATCTTGGGTCGAAGCACTTGATTTTCAAGCTGTGATATTTTTATGGCTCGGAGCTAGTTTTTCAGATGATAAAATTATGTTATATCTGTTTTCTCCTTGCGCTTTACAGATGCACAATTTGTAAGAGCAATTTTACCATAATAGTTTTTGTTTTGCTCAACGGCAAAAAGAAGAATCTGCCATTTTAGAACGTAAAATTAATGGGGTATATTTGGACAGATTAATTGAAATTATATGTCCAATACAGAGCGTACAACCTATCGGACACAGTTAAAGGGAACCTATAGTCTTGAAAATAACAATCATTATATCGTGGCTATATTTTCCCTTCTGTCCACTCTCCTAAAGTTTAAGGGAGATTACTTACCTTGTTTACGGCGGCGGGACTCCTTTGCCACAGCCCACCACTCCGCTACGCATCACCAATGAAATACTGTTAGCAGCATTTGATTCTCAGACTGAGTCAGGAAGACAGCCACTAGAGGTGGATTACAGCCTGCAGTGTAAACGGTTTAAAAAAAAAAAAAAAGAGGACCACTGCATGCAGACCACTTCATCTGAATGAAGTTGTCTAGGTTACTGTAGTGTTCCTGTAATTTTCTTAGATGTACATCTTGGCACAGGGACATAAAATGTTACCTCCTTTATTCTAATCCCATCATCATCATCACGAGATATACATTGTTTCTTGTTATTGGACAGCCATTTCCAATCAATAGCAGAATGCTATTCAGTTACCAGAGATGTGTGTTTTTTTGTAATAGAATCAAACCCTTACGTGAAAAGCACATTTTCCCTGAATTATTTTTAAGTGGAATATCCAGTTGTTAAATAGTGTGTGTGTTTTTTGCGTCTTGTATCCTCCAGTCATTTTGTTTTACCTATTATCTGAACAAACATTTGGCCGAGTTAAGAATTTAAGTGCCTTGCATTTGGAAATACTGTGCAATTCTTTAGGTGTTAGGTCCATGCTGCCAACATTTATTAAAAACGAGTTATTCAAGGTCATTAACAGACCTTTGCCTTCACTGTACAAGTTGTTTTTTCTTTTTTTTTAACCTGTGAGAGACACAAACGTGTATTAAACATGGCCGCTAGTAGGTTGATACTGTATTAACCAGGGGTGCCCAAAAGGTAGATTCCCAGATGTTTTAAAACTACAACTTCCACGGTACTTTGTCATTCTAAAGGCATGCAAAGCATCGTGGGAGGTGTAGTTCTACAACATCTGGAGATCTACATTTTGTCCACCCCTGGTCTAAACTAAAGTTATGAGAAGGAACTAAATCTCAGACGAAGTATAGTTTTAAACTGTTTAGTGAATTAACCCTCAAAGAATAGCTAGGCACGTGAGATCCCCAGATGGAGAATTCAAGAGTGAATTTCAAATTTAAGGTCAAAGTAGCCAAACTGTTTGTCAGTTTGACTACTTTGGCCTTAACTTTGAAATTCACTTTGAAATCTCAACTTAGTAAATAACCCTGTTGTTGCTTTGTCTAAAAATACAATTTCTCTAAAGGAGAAACAAAGTAGTTTTGTTTTTTAAATAAATGTTGGAATGTAATGGGATATTACAGGCTGGAGTTAGCCTCAATACATTTAAAATTGCTATAATAATAATACATAAAAGCTATAATACTGATTTGACCCTTAAAGTAACACACCAGGCTTGGTTTGACTCATTTGTAATGGTTTAATGGGTTATAGAAAGCGCATTTACAAGAAACACGTAAAGACAATCAAATAAAAAATTATAAGCAAAGATACTCACATTTAAAGTTTCTGCATTTACTGGAAGTCTCCAAGCTTTGCAGCATCTGCAGTAAGCACTAATTAATCCATGAAGTGACTACTGCTCACTTACCTATTTATAGAATGTCTAGTTTATCTCAGAATCCGTGTTTAATCGCAACTCCAAGTAACCTAAGTTATATCATGTTTATCTGTATTTTTGGATCAAATAGGTAAACACAGCAGGTTGGAGGGAAGGACAGAAAGGATTTGTTTGTGAAGCTTTTTAAATAAGCTAAGTAATAATTTAAATAAAAACCTGCATTACGCACTGTAAACATTGCACCTAATTTGTTTTGGTGTCTGGAGTGTCTCTTTAATTTTCCTTTATTGTCTAAAATTGCAATGACCAAGAAATAGTTAAAAAAAAAGTATTAGTCAGTCCTGGTCTTCCTATTGTTCTCACTGTAAGCAGCGCACTCTGTATATCCTGTAGAACTCTACCCAACAAGACTTTAAGGGATATATGCCCAGCACACTCCAGTAGTTCCATTTATGAAAATACATGGATGAAACTACACTGCAATAATCTGCAGCTCGACCTCCAGTATCAACCCATAGTTTAGCCAGTTTGTTTTTAATGAGTGAAACTATCACATGACAAAGCAGGCATACTAACAGAAAGCTAATAGAATTAGTAAAGGTTTGTTACGGGTAACGACATCACACTGTGGCCTTATGGCTGCAATATATTTGAAGCAAAACAAGAAGGGGAGCTATAACTTGTGCAAGGTGGTTATGGTGCTTTGAGTATCCCGTTAGTTATCATGCTATGTTAATCTTACAATTGACAGTCAAATATGTCTCTTTACGTACTGACTGAACATGTCTCATACAAAATCAGTTTAAAAAATCCAGCAAAAGATCACTATATTCCAGCCCCCCCACCCCCTTAATTTAAATGAAGGCGGGTATTTTCAAAACATAATGGTTTATGATTTTAAATTAGGAATGTGAATGTCAATGAAAGGTCTTCTTTAATGGTAAAAAAAAAAAAGAAGTGTACTTTGTAATGGTACGGATAAAACCGTTCTCGTAAACAGATAATGGCATTAATCAAAACAAAGTAAGTTAAGATATTTTGTTTTGTTTTTGTTTTTAAAGCAAGGCCTCGCTCAACTAACTAATCCGGCTCAGTTGTTAAATGTTTATCGGCAGATTGGCAGCATGATTGTAATATTTTGTAACAACCAGCAGAGGTCTCAATAACACCAACTATTTAGAAAGAATTTATGCTGCTGATAAGAGCTCTGATGGTGTTAAACTGTTAGGGATATCCACTAAACTGTGAATTGGAGACATTTAACAAGGAAATTGCTTGTTTTGTGGCCAAAATGGAAAAATTGGTTGGAGAGTTAGAGATTTATTTTCTAATCTGGCCTAACATTTAACGTACTCTTGTCATTTTTCAGCAATTCTCAGATTGTTGTGATTTTGTTTAGTGATCTACCAAACGGCTGAGCGTAATGACCATTTTAGTTCAAGATAATCTACAGATTATCTATAGAGCTGTAATTTTTTTAAACTCATAGGAAGCTGTAAACATAAATGGGCAAGGTGTGATCTTAAATGATTTTGATATAAATTTTGCAGTTCGGTTAGAGAGAGACACTTTTAATGCTCAGAATTACTCACTCGGTTACTCTAAAGTGAGGATTCAAAGTGGATTTCAAATTTCAGGCCGGAGTAGCCAAACTGAAAGCATTGCTGACGTAGAGATTTTTTGGCAATTTATAACTTACATTTTAAATTCACTTTGAATTCTCACTTTGGTTAGTAGCCCTGTCAGTGTTGCATCTGCCGCTGTTAATTTACAATCCATTTTGTGCTTATGCGATATCCCTGTTTTCCATATAGCTCTACAGTATCATTTTTTTGTGAATTACAGATGCCTAACCAAAGCAGAATGCTTTTTTTTAAACAAACACCCTCTAAAAAAAATGCCAAATTACATTTTTAAGTAGAATATTCTAAACTGCATAACTGTTCTATTTAATTCATCATAGCTCTGTGTCTGTGTATCACAACATATCCAATTATTTTTCATAGGGCATGATTGGAAAATATCGAGCATCACTCTCAGCCAGCAGTCGGTTGCCTTAATGATTCCACCCAGTCTCCTTGTTAATACATAATGTTTCTCAAACATATCTCAATATATGCCATGTCACCATTCACAGATTGGGCCAGAAAATGTATAAAAATAAAACAATGAGAATCAAAAAATTATCCCCTATTGTAAGAGAGTGAAACAGGCCACAGTGCATTTTTAGGGAGAAACGGGTGCAGGATTAGGAGCAGGGGTGATCTGATTCAGTATTTTAGGGCATAGTATACATGAACATGTAATCCCCACTTACCTGTGTGAAATACATGATAAAACGCTAATAGCCAAGGTTGTCTGTTGTGTAAAAATGGCTCATTCAGTGCTTAGCAATTCTGAGCAGTTGAAATGGTCCAGATTACTAACTTTGGCAACAGCAGCCCTTGCATCAGGACTATGCTGTTTATTGAGTTAGACAAGTCGAACAATCCCTTTGCATTGAGTCTGATTGTACCATAAATTACAGGATTTTAGAGGATGGTATTTCCTTGATGTTGTGTATGAGGAAAGAACAATTAACTACACTTCATTTATTGATGCCCCCTCGCCATGTCTGGCCTACAATGCCTGTCATGGCCAATGTTGATGGAAGTTGTAGTTTAACACTCATCCTGCAATTTGGGACAGGATGAGGGAATATGAAGACACATGGACAGCTTTAAGGAATGTTGCCATTCTTATTGACTGTACCTGTGTTACAATGTTTTTTGGTTTTCACTAGAACATTGCTGCTTCCACCATGGTTAGAGACCGTGCCTGATGGACTCAGAGATCCTGCTTTTTGGGGCATTCAGCGATCTCTGCACTGCCATTGGTGCTGGAGATCCATTTACGTCCATACAGCCAGTGCGGTATATAGTCCTGTTGCATGGCTTCAATTCACAGTAAATGGGGACGTGCAGAGCTCTGTAACTTGAAAAGAGTCCCCAGCATGGAAGAGACAGCAATAAAATATATATATGATCATTACCTCTATTTCACTAAATGGGACTAATGGTTTTTTTAGAGCTTTATATTTAATAATTTTTATACGTTATACCAACTTTCGTTAGTCTGGTCATGAATAGTGCTGCCTTTTAGTATGTAGCATTCATGTAGCGCCAGATTTAAATCCATTAACTAATCAAAGCAATACCTTTGGTATTTCTCTTTGAATATTGAGTTGATTTCCTTCCTTCACTCTTCATGTGCTACCCAACAGCGTGAAGACCTGTAATTTGTACAAAAAAACATGGTGGACTTAGAAACTCTATTTGCGACTCATGACCCTTAAGCACCTTCAAAAAGTCATTGATTCCACAGCAATGAGAGGTCCCCCCATTTTTTAAAAACATTTTCTGAACTTTTATAGTACTGTTCATTGATCTGACCTCTGACCTGCCTCGCACTGCTCAATACTGTATAGAATACACCACAAACACTGCATAATAGTATGTTTAGCTATGTATTAATGTGTTACTATCACACTGTTCTGGTCTATTGTTGTTTCTTTGCAGGCCTATGCTTTGTAGTCCCTGTGTGATTTCACTAGTACACTGGACACAAATCAAGCTGTTTTGGTATAATAGTATTTACACCAAACTCTCTGTCTTTTTATTTTTTATTTTGTTTTGTTATAATAAATATCCCTGTAATGGAAAAAAAAAAAAATTGTTAATTAAACATTTTAGTTTACGAATGGAGGCTGCGTGTATGTTTTTCAGGACTCTGCTAGTTTATTGCCCTCTGGAATCATTGTTGGTGTTGTGTAACATGCTGGTATGATGTACCTCCACCTCCTGCGCCTTATATTGTCTCAAGATCCATGTGTGGTTTTTCTTCATAAAAGACCTACAAGTTCTATGAAAGGAACTGTGGGGAATTTAAAAATGAATTTCATATTTTAAACCAAAATGCCAAAAATGTTCTTTTTTTTAGCTTCAATGTTTTGAGTAACACAAATTCCCTTGCACAATAAAAATATAATAAAATTATTAAACACACCGATGTATCAGTATTGTTGATCCCTTTTAGTAATAAAATTACTATTCAAGAGAGAGACACACTTGGACTGGTGACAAACTGGGTTCGCTAGTGAAAATCAGTTTTTCACAACATTTCTGAGCAACACAAATATTTTGGGGATAACAGCCATTTCTCAGGTGCAAGGGGTGTTATTCTTAAAATGTTTGTGTTGCTCACTGATGCTCTGTGAATAAATAAAATAAATATCTTCAGAAAACGCTTAATTTTAAATTGTATAATAAATACAAATACTTATTTTAGCCTAAATGTGATTTTCTTCAAATTTCACAAGGTGAATTTGAGTGTAACCAGTCACTAAAATAAAACTGTGATCCCCAGACAGTGTGAGTAATTCCAAGTCACGATGAATATTAAGATATAGTGGATTCTTGAATACAGAACACAAGTCATTTTAACTGACATCTTTACTTAAAGGAACTCTCCAAACACCTAAAGCACTTTAGCTTGCTGATATGCTTTATGTGTGAAGAGTGTAAAAATAGGCTTCCCGCAGAATTCTTCTAGTCAATAATCTACACTTACACCAGTGATTTTATAATATATTCATTGAATACTTGAATGTGAGAGGTAAGAGAAGAGCTTGACAAGGCTTCATTCTAGTGTCTGTATGTGTGCATCGAGCAGGCCTCCCAATTGGTGATCGTCCGGGCAGCCTTTCTATGGGCAGGCCCACCCGTTTTCCAGGCCAGTCCAACCATTATGGGCATCGCTAGTAACGCAGATCACGTATTTGGTGATGTCCTTGTTGTCTTTATGTTGTCCTGTCCTTTTTAACTACTTCCTATACAACACATGTAACTGAGCGAATCTCTGAAATGCTATTTACCAGTTTAAAATTGGCTGCCGTCATTTGAAGATCACATTTCTGGCCTCACATACATTGTCCATAGGGCGCCTCTGGTATAGGTGTTGAGGGTCATTCCTGGAATGTAAGGTTGTGCTGTGATATCCATCAGAACTGGTTAGTCAACAGAAGTCGGAAGGCCAATTCTTTTGCAACTTAACCACATGAGCTAGACTTAGGCATTCAACTGAAGAGTTGTATGCCTACAGCTAATCAAGTAAACCAGTGAGTTACATCGTTCACCTAAACATTCAAATCCATTAAAATAATTGTTAGGGAATGGGCCACTTTTAATTGATAACTAACACTTATAAACCAGTTCTGTTTGTATGTATTTAATGAGTTTTTATAAATTGTTGTGCTGTGCGTTGGAACTTGTAAGAAATGCTGGTATAGCCAGGCATGCAGTGTAGATTTCAGATATCCAAGATTCCCCCTGTGCAGCCCAAGCACATGCAGAATAACCCTGACAGGTGGAGGCACTGGGTACATCTATTTTGTAGCTCTCTCCGCTGCCCATGTCACCCCAGGTGTTCAAAGCATTTTATGTTTCAAGTGATAGCCCCATCACCAGGTAGAAAGATAAACGTGTAACTCTGGTTAATTGAGATTAGAGCAATGGGTGTTCCTCAATCAAATGGATATGTGACTTCTGAGAATCTATTCGAATATATATATATTATTTTTTTAATTTAAATTCTTTAATTTTCATTTTGTAAGTCAATTAAACATTACAGAAAGAAGAAGGGGTTAATGTGCTTTTTGCATGTCAAATAATCATTACAGAAAGAGAGGGTTAATGCACATTTCATGTGACAGATAAACATTACAGAACGATCAGTCGTGACACGGATTCACAAATCCCTACATAATGTTGATAGGCTATCCATATATTTTTAAATGGTCAGTAGCCGGCTAGCATGCTTTCGCTGCATAAAGAGTCGTCTTTATCTCAGTGGAGCTACCTGTTTTGGTGTTTTGTTTAAAAGTGTTTTTTTTTTTTCTTTTTTTCATATAGCTTATTGGTTAAAGCCCCAGCTAGCAAAAGCAGGTGTGATTTTCACCAAAAGCAGTGTAGATGCAAGCAAATCAAAAAGATATTCCAAATAATGGCTGTTATACCTTGTGTGTTCTCCTGCCTACCTGACAATAAAGGCAGAATTCTACTTCATTAAAAAGCTGCTCTGCTCACACCTGGGCATCTTGGTATTTTATCACACAGTTTTCATCGTTAATTGCTCAATTTCACATTCCCGTAGTTTCTGAAAATTCATGAAATTGGTAAAGGTGATCATGGTTAAACAACACAAGGATTTATTCACATGTGAGAATTACACATTTTCCACCAAAACATTTGAGGTTTTTTTTGTTTTGTTTTTCGAAAGTGAGAAATCAAAGTAAAATTTCAAATTTAAGGCCATAGTACCAAAACTGAAAACATTATCATAGCGGGCATAACTGATTTTTTTTTTTCCCCCCAGTTTGAATATTTTGACCTTAAATTTGAAATTCACTTTAAATCATCTACTCTAGTAAATAGCTGCGGTGGAAACGTTCTCATACTGCTTTTGACCTGAACCCTGCGATTCTCTTGTTAATTCTCTACAGTTCTCAGTGTGTTTAATAAAAACATTATTTTACAGTTGCAAAGCGTAACAGAACCCTGGCAGCTTGTTGCTGTCATCGTTCTCCATCTGGGTCTACGAAGCGGAATTACATTCAGTATCCTGATCACGCAGCTGTGCATGTTGCAAGTTTGGTTTTTAATGAGTGTCTGCCACCATTGCAACATTGTTTCCATGGAAACAATTTTGCTTAATTTCTACCACAGCACGTAAAATGTATATTGTTAAAGATCCAATTCCTTGCTCACTTACATGAGGTCTTATGAGAGGTTGGAGTTGACGAAAAAAGGAACACCTTGCCATTACACAAACAGGGACATCATATTCTAAATACATTGACAATAATATGAAATCCCCCCCATAACCCACCTTTGCAGCTCTAACAGCTTCCTCTCTTCTGGGAGGGCTTTCCAGGTATTTTGGAGTGTGGCTGTAGGAGTTTTTGCCCATTCATTCAGTAGAGCATTTGTGAGGTCAGGCATAGATGTTGGATAGCAGGACCTGGCTCGCAATCTCTGTTCCAGTTCATCCTAAAGGTGTTTGACAGGGTTGAGTTCAGGGCTTTGGGCAGCCCAGTCAAATTCTTCTACAGCAAACTCATCCAACTATATCTTTATGGACCTTGTTTTGTGCACTGGGGCACAGTCATGCTACAATAGAAAATGTGGTCTTCTCCAAACTGTACCCACAAAGTTAGAAGCATATCATTGTCCACAATGTCTTGGTATGCTGAAACATTAAAATTTCCCTTCTCTGGAAGTAACAAGTCTAGCCCAACAGCTGAAAAACAGCCCCATACCGCTCCCCCTCCTCAACCAAGCTTTACAGTTGGCACAATGCAGTCAGGTATGCAATTTTCTCTTGCAATCCACCAAACCCAGACTCACCCATGAGACTGCCAAACAGAAACGTGATTTGTCACTCCACAGAATATGTTTCCACTGCTCCAGAGGCGGTGTGCTTTACACCACTCGAGTCGATGCTTGGCGTTGTACTTAGTGATGTGAGACTTGCACTCAGATGCTTGTCCATGAAGCTTCAGCCGCCCAGTGTTTGTGCTGATACCACCAGTGAAAGTTTGAACCAATGTCCATGAAGCTTCAGCCGCCCAGTGTTTGTGCTGATACCACCAGTGAAAGTTTGGAACTCTTCGGCTATGGAATCAGAAGAACAATGGTGACTTTATGTGGTCTTTCACTTCGTGGCTGAGTTGCAGCTGTTCCAAAACACCTCCACGTTCTAATAATACCACTTACAGTTGACCGAGGAATATCTAGCAGGGATGAAATTTCACAAACTGACTTATTGCAGAGGTGGCATCCTATCACAATACCACACTCCAATTCACTGAGCACAGACTGAATGGCTAGGTGCTGGATTTTATACACCAGTAACAATGGGTTTGTTTTTAACACCTGACATCAATAGTTAAGAGGTGTGTCTCAATATTTTTATCCATATAGTATATATACAGAGAATAAATTAAAGTTTCTGCAGTAAAGTGCTAACGTGGAGAAAATCCATGTTTCCGCTGCTTGCTCGACTTCACACAGGAATTGCTCCTAAGACATAGAGACCATTTGGTATGAGATGGAAGCAAATATCTGCAAGAAACATCTATGACACGGAGAGTTATTCATAAGGAGATTTTTTTAAACTGCAGAATGAGCAGTACACAAAAACATTCCATTCCGTTCCATGGTGATCGATTTACTTTATCCCAAAATATTTTTTAATAAATAAACCCAGTTGGGTGAAATGTACTAACAGCATGCAACTGAAATAAAATAATCCTAAAAAATAACTGCACCTGGGGGAAAAAAACACATGTTCGGTAGCTTTTCATTTTATTCTTTAAGTTTGGACATTAACCACAAACCTATGAATAGAGAGTACCACGTGTCTGAAAATGTAAACTAAAAATGTACATGGAAAATATCAAAATAGCATGGAAAATAACACATGGTGTGACCGTCTGCTGTGATTATCCATTCTATGGTAAGTTTTATGCAATTCTATTTTTTTTGCTTTTACATATACTTAAAGGTCCTCCTTGAACACATCAATTCCAGAAAATATTTTTTTTCTACAATTCTCCTGGAATCACAAGGAAGAAATAGTTCAACTTCTATAACGGAATCAGCATCATGCCGATGAGATCCCAGAGATGAAACCTGTACCGTTTATATTGGTTTCGGGTCATTGGTTCATTATGGGTCATAACCTATACTTTGATTTTAAAAACTGTGTTTCAATCAGTGGTCCATTGCTAAAGCGCCCCGTAGAAATGCAGGATGAAGTCTGAAACATGATACCTATTTATGCTCACTTGCATGTCAAGCTGGGGATTCTGGGAGGATTATAGAAACATAATTTTATAGAATTTCTGTGCCCAAGGCAGGTTATTCCCAAACTTCTCATTCAGATATGTAGATGATGTACAAAAGTATAATTTGAATTTGCATAATCGACTGGGGAGTTTGCTATTTGGTCTCGCCACAATGTTGTTAGTACTTATCTTCAATTATATATGGTTTATAAATATTAAAATAATTTTTTTTTGATCTCTAAGCAAATCTCAAGAATGCAATTCTTTCTCACTGACGTCTCTATATAATACATTTATAACATTATTTTAAACAATACATATATCATAATGCGTAGTCCATCAACTATTTCTTAATTTCAAAAGGTAAAATGTATAGCAGTGATTTTACTAGACAAGAACATAATGTGCTGAAAGTTTATTTTATGGAAATATAATAATTACAATATTTAACAGCTAATACAGAATTGAAAAATTAGTATCAATTAGAACTCTCTTTTCAATTCCCAGTGTGTCGTATAATAGTCTTATTCTTGTTAAGCTAATTTCAGCTCATTTATGGGTTACACTTATAAAGGGATCTCAATTTCCACCTTTGAACAAGAACAATGATCTTACTATCATCTGTGCCAACAGCCAAGAAACAGTTAAAAACAAATTTTGGTTTTGTACCCTATGGTTTTATACTTTGTAACTAAGGTTTTATGCTTTCTTTTCTTTTGTAATATGACAAATTGCAATACAAAGAAACATTGTAAAAACTAAAGTAAATGTAATTGGCCCTCTTTGTAAATTAACACAGACCACACTATACAGTGCAATATCGGATCCCTGTTCTTGAAAGGGATATTATGACAGAGTGAAAAGGTTGTATAAAAAATAAATAAGAGAAGTGAAAGAACTAGGTCATGAAGACCGAAGAGAAAGGTTGAAACTGCTTACTAAAGAAAAGAGGGCTCAGAGTGGATATAATAGCTGTATACAAGTTTATATACAAGGCAAGACAAACCACTGTCCAGGGATGGTAGCCTTCATTAAGATTTGTACGAAAAAGATTTCACCTAGAATAGATAATTTTTTTGTTACGCTCCCACCCCCCTCCAACTACAAACCGCATCAGAGTCCCAGAAAACAAATTATCTGAATATACCCAGAGACTCCTAATAATCTTAGTCTTTGAAGCGCCGGACCCTTATTCTGGATGCAGCCATCTTATAATTAATGGATTCTATGCTATTGCCCATAGCATGCAGAGGGATCTAATTTCCACACATGTTCGGTGGGCACCACAACTATACTATATATATATATATATATATATATGTACACACACACACACACACACACTGTACCCTGCAGGTGTCCACTTCCCAAGCAGCTGCAACCGCTACTTCAAGAAGCAACCCTACACAGTGTCTGCAGAGCGATTCAGGTCCTTTGATGCTCTGCTTATGGAGCTGACCAGGTCCATGTCTCACAATGTCAGCCACCCCCAGAACGTGCTCTGCATCTACCTTCATTTCATGTATCAGTTGGATGTTCATGCGTTCCAGGCATCTTGATTGTGCCTGACTGCCCTGGCGGCCCGTCACTACCTGACTCAGTTGTACTTCCTGCTATAGTGGAAAGAGAAAAGTGAGTGCCCTAAAAATTAACTTTTAATAATAATAATAAAATAAGTATTAATTATCCTAAATAGGAATGCTATACATAAATATAGATGCATACATAGATGTGCACAATCCATTACACCATTACACAAATGTATGATCTATCCCTATCTGGCAATTTGACGATTATTTTTATAGTGGTCCAATGTGATCTATTCTCCCCTGGAAATCTAACTATTATTTTTATAGCGGTCTAATGTGATCTATCTCTATTTAATAATTTGACCAGTAAATCCAGAGCGGTCTAATGTTTATATCTTTGATCACAAATAGATCATTCATTAGTGATAGATTATACATTTGATCATAACCTAGGTGTAATGGATTGTGCACATCTATGTATGTATCTATATTTATGAATAGCATTCCTATTTAGGATACTTAATACTTATTTTATTATTATTATTATTAAAAGTTTATTTTTAGGGCACTCACTTTCTCTTTCCACTATTGCTTCAGCTTTTGGGTAAACCCCTATATGAGTTACCTTTAAGCTTCCTCTTTCTCGCATTGTACTTCCTGCTATGCTCCAGCCCACTTGCCCCAACATACAGGGCAGGAGGCGGAAGCAAGTACCACTTGACAGTAAAGTCATTGCTGGCACCCCCCTTAAGAAGTGCCCAGGCGGCTGCCTAATTGTCCTATAATAATCATCTATACATTGTGCTAGCACTTTTGCCAGCAAATGTATAGAATCAGGGGGATGGGGGGAATCTATTCAAATTTGACTGATAAAGAGCTGAAAAGACCACCCACAGGAGTTCCTTTGGCTCTCCCAAGCAAATCAACCTTAGAGTATGCTTTCCAGGGTCTCTAGAAACTCCCTAGTCTGTGCTGCTACCACTGGATAGGGAGTATAGGAAAATAGTTACGAATGTCACTCTGTTTAGACTAAGACATGCTACCACAAAGCCAGTATGTTTGCGTCACTGAGGAGGCTTGCACTGCTTGGACGGACCAGAGGTAGGTGTTACATGAAGAGAAGCACCCACAAAGCTCTAAAGAGGGTGGCGCTGGATCCAGGGTGAGGTGAGTATATATTAAAAATATACATTGAAAAAGTCATGTATATTTGTGAAATATGACATGTTCAATGTCTATGGGGGCAATTTAATATAAGTCGTTGTTTCAATTCCAGGTTCACTTTAAATGGTGATGGGGTTGTGAAACTGGAGTATATCATTATGTAGAGGGTTAATAGCACAGATCAGCCAGTACATGGGGTAATTCTTTTAATGCTTACCTGAAGCAGCCCGCAGACATCTCTCGAAGTCTGAAAGAGTAAAACTGCATCTGCAACATGACAGAAAAAAAGAATACCTGTGTAGTCCTATATTAAGACAAATCTGTCTCAGTCAAAACTGCCCCGGAGATTTGGTACATTATCATTAGCTGGAGCTCTGGTCTCCGAAAGATAAATTATAAGTGTGATTAAATAAGCTGCATGGAGTGATGGAACATATGCTGCATTCCCAGGAAGACGTATTTCAGATTCTCTGTAGGTTAATAATAAACAGCAACTTTGGAGCAAAATTCTAAACACAATGCAATCACCCTGGAAACCAGTGAAACAATTCCAATATTTGTTCCATTCTTAAATTCTGCCCCAGATTTGGTTAGTGTGATTTTCAATGGTTAACCCAGTGGTTCCCAAACTTTTTAGGCTCAAGGCGCCCTTAATATTTCAATATTTTTCCAAGGCACCTCAAGTCAAAACAATTTTCTTGGTTGTATAAATGTACAGCGTTGCAGCATATATTGGGCCCCTAATCTTGGGAGGGGCACTGGTAGATTTTTTAAAGAAACAATCCAGGCACAATAGCCACTACATTACATTGTAGTGGTTATGGTGCTTGTAGTGCCATAGTGCCCTCCCAGGGTAAGTAGTCAAGCTGTTTAAGCTGTGTGAGTGGTGCAGTGTGAGGGTTGCAGTGTGCATGTGTGCGTGAGGGGTGCAGTGTGTGCACAGGGGTGCATTGTGTTTGTGAAGGATGTAGTTTGTGTGTGTGGGGGGGCTGTTTGTGCATGAGGGGTACAGTGTGTGTGTGTGATGGATTTGTGTGGGGGGCAGGTTGTGTGAGGGGTGCAGTGTGTGTGAGGGGTACAGTGTGTGTGAGGGTTACAGTGTGTGTATGGGGGCAATGTGTGTGTATGGGGGCAATGTGTGTGTATGGGGAGTAGTGTGGTGGATAGTAGTATGGTGGATAGTGTGTGTATGGGGGTAATTGTGTGTGTGTGTGTGTCTCTATGTGTGTGTCTGCATATGTGTGGGGGCAACTTGGTGGGTAGATGTATGGGGGGAGCGGGAGGGCCAGGGCAAAATGCAGATAGCTGTGTGTCAACAAGTCGCTTAAGCCGGAAGTCCTTCTAGTGGCTGTCTGGTAGACAGCCACTAGAGGTGAAGTTAACCCTAGCGAATAATTATTGCAGTTTATGAAAAACTGCAATAATTACCTTTGCAGGATTAAGGGACCTGGGACACGGCACCCAGACCACTACAATGAGCTGAAGTGTGTGTGTATGGGGAGGCAGTGTGTGTGTAAGTCTGTGGGCAAATTAATAAATATATACTTTATTTTATTTATTTTTTTATTACAAATAAAATGATATCTACCATCCCTGCCTGGGAGGGGGGTCATTTCCTGTAATCCCTGGTGGTCCGGTAGGGAAGCCCTGGTGGTCCTAATGGTGAGAGTGAACTCTAGCAGCCTTTAGGAGCTGCAAGAGTTCACTCTCGTGAGATTCAGAACGTTGCCATGTTAACCATAGCAACGCTCCAAGCTCGCGAGAGGAGAACCCGGCAGAGCTGCAGGTTAGAGCTCCCCCAGGCCCTCTCTCCCTCCCTCCCTCCCCTGCCAGCTGTCAGCAAAGTGCTAGCAGGACGGAGAGGGAGATCAGTCCTGCAGAGCCGGCAGGGGAGAGCACAGTTCCCGGTGCTATCATCATAGCACCGGAAAAATAACTTGCGGCTCCCCTGTGTGCCCGTTGCGTTAACCTATTTGTTTAGGATTTTTTTTTTAAGATGACAAGTAGAGTTATTTATTAAAGGGTTACTCCAACCCTTATTTAAAAAATGTGTTTATTCAATTTATAGGTCATTAGTGTTTGGTCCTACTCCTTAAAATCGGTAAAATTAAGTTTTACTTACCTGACATCCAGTGTTGGGGAAACTCTTGGTGCTGATCTTCCACATCCCATCCTGACATCACACGGCACTTGTGCGGTCCATGCAGTCATCTTTATTCCAATTAGTTGAGAAGGTTCCCTGCAAGCCAAGTGGTCTGGAACCACTTTTTTAAATACCTTATACTTGCTTGAGCTGTGCATCTGCCCAATAAGGCATATGGATTGCACCCCTATATTGCAAGGTAAGCCTGGAAATGCACTGCAAAGAAGTACTTACTTATGTATACATTACAAAATAATACATAGGCTAAAAATACAAGTCTTCCTTTAAACAAAATAATAAAAAAACTTATGATAGTTTGCCTTTAAATGAACACTCCAAGTACCATAATCACTATAGCGTGTTTGACATTTTACCTGGGGTCCACTGGGGTGCTGTAGAATTTTACATATTCTATGTTCCTTATCATATTAGCTATGGATGTGTAATGGGTTAAAAAGAACAGATGGTAATTTGCTATGCTGTACCATGAGAAGTCTGGATGTTGGTGTATAATGAGTGGATTCAGGGTTCCAGAGTCTTCATATGTGTCCTTATATGGCCAGAGCTTACCTTCTCTCCTCCCTACCGGTGCATGGCTATACTCATTCGGTGAGAGTTGGCATCCTAACCTTGTGCTGCAGAAGTAGGCCATGGTTTCTCCACAGTCTCATGACGTCATGGGCGCTCTTGTTTAGAGATCAGCCTCTTCAAGCTGCAGGGGACAAAATGGGCAGAAACCATTTAACCCATGGAGTGGGAGACGTGTGGACCTCAACTCACCATGTCCCCAGTGCTCAGTAATATGGTGCTTACTGTGGAGTTAACTTTAGTGTACCTAATCTGCTGATTATCAGATATTTGACTCTCTGCTAGTTTTATTGTGTATGTGAACCTGCGCTGCCTGCCCTGTCCTTTGGCTTTCTCTGACTACGTGTCCATTTTTTCCTTCGGTACCTCACTTTGGCTCATTCCTGCTCCTACTGTCAAATATTTAACAGATAGCTAACAAGCCTAGACTGCCCATGTTTTCTTGCTACAGCTTGTTGATAGGCTTAGCTGCAGTGGTTACCTCTCGTACATATGTACCTAGCATGTTCTACAAGGTCTGTATGTTTTTATCTTTCTGCAAATGGCGTATAACATGCGTCTGACTTCTATTACCCTATTATTGCATAGATGTGTTTATATTTAATGTAAAAATCAGAATGTCTACCTTTTGATCATTCCGTCTGTAATATTTTCTCTTGTGTAAGTTTATTTGATCTCCATATTAAGAATACAATGTATATCTTTACAGTTTCAATAAAAAAGAATCATCTCCTTATTGTGCCATTAATTTGCACTGGGATTATTCGGTTCTCTAAATATACATACAATATATATTAATAGCTAACATGAAGGAATTGTGAATTATTGTGTATAATCTGAAAGGTTATAATGGCACTGGGGGAAAAATTACTTATTACAAACACATAAGCCAGCAGTGATTCATGAGCATTTATTATAAATATTCAGTTCAGGTATGTCATGTACTTCAAGTTTATATATTTATGACTGTTAATTATTCAACATTTTCAATTGCAGAAAGCAATATAATAGACGCACGCAATGCAATTCTGTGTTCCATTCATTAAATCCGTATTGCTAAAAGTAATCAATTACCGGTACTGTCAAGATCCTTTACAAATCCGCAGCATGCAAATGAGACTTGATCGTACTAATTTTCATTCTCTGATTATCTGTATGAACCAACACTATATTGCTTGGATGGAATGCCTATCATAGATCATGACCCAGTATGAACAATTATTGTATTACCTTGGGTTACTGACGTCATTCACCGCTTGAGACATCTCATGGGTTTTATTATCATATTACGCATGTGATAAAGATTTACTCAGATCATTCTGTAAGGTGTTGAGCGGGGAAACTCTGAGCTTTTCCAGTCTTTTAGCAGACAAGGTTTGTTCAATTTAACTGTCTGCCTGACATTTGGTCACATTTTAAAAATAATTTTCATTTTCAGAATCTACATATTATAACGTTTCTGCATATCCCAATCTGCCCCAGATTGGTGGGAGTTATACTAATATTGTTGGGAACTGAACCGCACTGCAGCTCTCACAAGTAATTTGGGTCCAATCCAATAGAAACAAAAATATCTCTGTATATATTTTAACCATTTAGTAGATATATCCCCAATGAAAATATGTAGGCATTTGATAAAGCATTTTTTTATTTGGGGTTTATCTAAAAACTTGCAAACATAAAACAACAAAGTCAGACCACGAGAGTTGTATAAAAGGTTTAGGCGCTCACTATAATATTCAATATATGGAAGCAGTAGATCTACAAGAATTCACAAAACCTTGCGTAGTATACAAAATGTGACAAAACAACAGGTGATAATTCCCACCAATAAAAACACACAAGTGAAACCGGTGCCTACAATGACCTTATGGTACAATATATATATATATATATATATATATATATATGTACTTTTTGGAATCAGTAAATAACAGTTTCAAAAAAAACTCGGAAGAAAAGAAAGAAACAAACAATAGTGCAATATATCACACACTTTGCTGAGCTACTGAGCGCTCTGCTGTATAGCACTTGGACACTACAATCCTCGTCTTGGGATACATAAAGATACACTGTAGTATACGTTCAGTAATGTTCCAACTTATGGGAAATAAAGCAGAGAGGATCTTATTGGTGTAGAAACATAGAAACATAGAAACATAGAATGTGACGGCAGATAAGAACCATTCGGCCCATCTAGTCTGCCCAATTTTCGAAATACTTTCATTAGTCCCTAGTCTACAGAAGCCTTGGTGTTATAATCCCCACATAAGGATAAAATAAGGAACCATGGGGTGGGGCCGGACTTCCGAGCTGAGCGGTTGCACACAGTAGGAGCTCCGTGCAGCATCGAGCTTTAAACTTATCTTATGGACTCCAAATTTGTATTCTCTATGCCTGAAATACCCTACTATGTCTGGGAGCACCATAGCCCACTAACACACCGGTATTTCAGCAGTGGAAGCCCTGGCAACGCGACTGCGGCCTACCTAGTGGTCGAGACCTTGAGGGACGGGCGACCTCGCGGTCTCTGACCAACCTGGAGCTGGACCCTCAGCAGTTAGATTTACCGTTCCCCCCCCTGCCGGTAGGGGTTATCTCGGCACCCACAACATCAGACGCCCCTGAGTTGCTTGCCTACACTGGTTCCCGCTCATTGTTGCAGCGCGAGCACTCCAAAGATGGCGGGCATACCGGATGCACAAGCAGGCACAACTGAACAAGCGAAATGGAATCTTCCCAACCGAGTGGACCGGCTCATGCGGCCGCTCGATGAAGCCTTCACACGGTTCTGGGCAGCCCTTGAAACCTGCATGGTGGAAGCCGCGAGACAACCTTCAGAGAGCAATGGGAGAGGTGAGCACTGGGGAGAGAGTGCGCCTCCTTTGGGTACAGCCTCGCAAGGTACACACGTCGCCAGCGATGTAAGCCCACCAGGGCCGAAAGTCACAAGGGGCCTAGTCCCCATGCATTGACCGCACAGACAAGGGGCAACTTGCCGCTGGCACGGCGGAACCACCACTGCCTTCTGTTCCCTCAGATGGGTGAAGGTCAAGGACTTTCTCAGCCTCCGTGACTGCGGTAAGAAGATACAGGCTTCAACAAGAGCCTGGGGCTGGAGGAGTGCCCCCTCTCGCTCCTACCACTCTGATGCCCCCACAGAGAGCCTAGCATGACCCGAGCAGAGCCTCAGAATGGGAATCAGCTGACCGCTGACAAGCATAGATCCACTGCTCCACACTGGACACTGGGTGCTACGGGAACCTTCCAGCTAAAATTAGCAGACTTAGGAAGCAAAGTGGCTTCTTTTGTAGTTAAAATAAGTATACTCATTAAATCCTCAATGGACATATGTCTGGTAACCACAGTTGCATATGACATGCGCCTGTTCCCAAGCAATAACCCTTACATTTTTGTTTTTTAGTTGTCATGAAGACCTATGTTTATATGAGAGTTGTTTAATGCTGTTCTGGGTGCAAATGTCATAAGAAGTCCATGGTATGATACTAGAATTACGGTAAATGTGAAGCCTAGAATATTACTGTAGTACCAATAGTGCTCCAGACGTGTACTAGCATCTTATTATGAGCACCTCGTGTGGCATAATACTCATATAAGTAGTTATCCCTCTCACAGCCTCTAGTCCAAGTACACTGCAAAAGCACAGTATGTAATCTTTTATATATGTTGTATTTGTTTTTGGTAGTTATTTGTTGTACTCTGTGCACGGTAATGTACTATTGCCTTTTACTTTATTCTTCTAGTTATATCGATAAATATTTCGATTACCATTTCAATTTGTTAAATTCTGGTAATCTTAAGTAGTGATGTCGCGAACCGTCCGCGAACTTGCCGCGAACGGTTCGCCGCGAACTCCGGTCAGCTGACACATCCCTGACAATCTCCGGCAGACCCTCCCTCCCAGACCCTCCTACTTCCTGGACAGCATCCATGTTGAAGGCAGCTTCGGCAAGTTCGCGAACGGTTCGTGACATCACTAATCTTAAGTAGTTCTTTTGTATGACCTCTCATAAATATAAAATCTGCCATGATATTGTTTGCCGTTGAACTGCTTGTCACCACTGTCGTGGCGTTACAAGCTTATCTGTTATTCTATGCACAAGAAAAATAAAGAATAAAAAAAAAAAAATATTAAGGAACCAGGAAGGTTGTTCAGCAGCAAAACAATAAATATGACTTATATGGTAAACAGTTAACTTTATTCAAAAATATTAAAGGATCACTATAGGGTCAGGAACACAAACATATCTTTCTGACCCTATAGTGCTAAACCCACCATTTAGGTGGCTTGCCCTCCCTTAGCCCCACTATAAAAGTATAAAACTCACCTTATTTCCAGCGCACGCGGTTCTGCAGGCTGTGGCTCTGCCCCCATAGGGAAAGCATTGGATCGGCTAAAATCGACATGGGGGTGGGGCCAAATGCCGTTTTGGCCAATCAGGACCTCCTCATAGAGATGCATTGAATCAATGCATCTCTATAAAAAAAATTCAGCGTCTCCATGCAGAGAGGAGTAGCCGAAGTCAAGGGATGCCAGAGGTCAGAGTAAACATAGTCAGAAGCCGGGGTCAATAACAAGTAGCAGCTCAAACAACAGGAACACTGGTACAAAGCACACAACAGGATCAAAGACCTGATGCTGATCACAGGGCGAGGCTGAGTTTAAATACCCTGCTAATGTCTGATCAGGGTCAGGTGAAGCACATCCAAAGTCAAGGTACAGCCCCCAGAGTAATAGACATGCCAGGATGAACAGGACCAGAATGGCATGTGGAATACAAAAGCTGTTGTGGCTCAGAGGAAGGAAGCAGGACCAGGACTGCAAAGTTCTCCGGTCCAAGTCCCTGGGTGACCATGTCTGGCTGTCTGTTTGCTGCAGTGAGAACTGTGACACAGGGTTGCTCAGGGCTGCCATAAGAAATTGTGGGGCCCCTAACACAGCTCAAGGTCTGGGCCCCCGTGTGCCCACCTCCAAGCCCCGCTTCCAAATCCTGCCCACAGGAATACACAGACACAGAAATACTGAGACACATATACAGACACACACACTGACATAAATACATAATGGCACACATACAGACATGCATACTGATAGACATATATACAGACTGACAAACACAGACATAAATGCATACTGACATACATACACACACAGACAAATATACATACTGACAAAGACAGACATATATACATACTGACATTCACACATATACACATACACACAGACATACATATACACACACACCTCATTTATCAGCCACTCTCCTCTTACCTTTAAGTTGCAGGAGGGTGGCTGGCTCCTCTCCTTTTTCCTGTCCTCTGCTCTCCCTCCCGCGCGCAGTAAGCTGGGAGGAAGTGACCGGCCGTCACTTCCTCCCAGCAGCACTTGTGGTGTAGCCGGAATTTTTTTTAAAGGGGCCCG